AGTAGTGACATAACTGGGTAATTAATCATTTCAAATTGACTTGTTCCAGGACCGATGGAAGTTTTGCCGTCAACGACGTTCCTTCTGGATCCTATGTTGTGGAAATTGTCACGCCAGCATATAGATTTGAGCCTGTGCGTGTTGATATCACATCCAAGGGCAAAATGAGGTACACAAAATGAAGGATGAAAGTACAAACATTTGATGTTAAATCAGCCATGACTTTTATTTACCACCTTATGGCAATTCTCTTTGACCTCAAATACCCCTTTGTTGTTTCCCAGAGCACGCCTTGTCAACTACATCAAGACTTCAGAGGTGATTCGGCAGCCATACCCTCTTCAAATCAGAGCCAGCGGCCCCCACAGTTACTTCATGAAGAGGGAGACCTGGGGCTGGACAGACTTCCTTATGAATCCAATGGTAAAATCACTGATACTCCGTCTGAATGACAAGTAGATATGTTGCATGAACCTCTTTAGTACTGTATAAATACTCTTTGAACTGCTGGAAAACTAGACATCTAAAACACATTCAGCAAAAGACAGTTTAATAGGGAAGAAAGTGTAAAATAGGGTTATACCAATAACTAATAACACTGTGTGCTCGCTGCTTCTCCAGGTTATGATGATGGTTCTGCCTCTGCTGATTATTGTTCTGCTCCCCAAAGTGGTCAACACCAATGACCCAGAGATGAGAAAGGTAAGGCATCATTGGAAGTGTTGGATTCAGTCATTTTTTCAATTAGATTTTTGGTAGCTGCATTCTGGTATTTTCTCTCTCTTGGTTTGTATAAGCTGAAAACCAGCTAACATGTTTTATTTCCTTGTCTTTCCAGGAAATGGAGCAGTCCATGAACATGCTGAACCCCAACCCTGAGCTTCCCGACGTCTCTGAGCTCATGACCAAGCTCTTCTCTGGATCCAAGGGCACCAGTAAAGCAGGCAGCAGCAGCAGTAGCAGCAGCAAAGGCACCAGGTCGGCTGTGAAGAGGAGGTAGTATCTCACTGGACAAACTGGTCTTCAGTCTCCCTGCAGATGCACGAGTTATGCTGTAAAAGCCAGATTGTTATGTGTGCTGGGTCTGTTGTACAGTTTTCTTCATGTACAGATGTTATCAGCACATCTTGGTTTAGCTGTTCTGCTAATGATAACTGGGCAAAGGTACAATGTTCCCATCCATCCATCCTGCCTGCACTGAAACCTCTTCAACTCTGCAAAAGGTCTAACGCTTCATTCAGTCTGTTCTTTGTACCAGTGGCTTTAATGCTCATCAAATTACCCACAAGTCTCTCCTGTGCTAACCCCCCCGTAGTGTGCATTTTATTCCCACTGCTGCTAATACCACTACCTGAAAGAGAACATTTACATACTCAGAGATTTTTGTTTTCAGTGATATGACTGTGAATGATTAATCAAAAGATAAAAATTTAAATCTTATTTAAAGACCACAAATTATTAAAATGCAATGGTTATACAGGAAAATTTGTTTTTATTTAACACATTGACGTCTATTTGTTGGACAGTGATCGTATGGCTTGAATTTACAAGCCGTCCACATGCTAATGTCTAAAGTAAAACTTATTACTGAAGTGTGTGTGTGGGTGTTCTTTGTTTTGTTTGTTTGTTTTTTTAAGATGAAGGTTAGATGGTCTTTAATTTTAATAAAGCTGATGCTAAAGATCATAATAAAGTCACTGGTAACTGTATTTGCAGTAACTGTTTTCTTTATGAAATGACAAAAGTGAATGAATGCTCAACATTATAACTCAAGGTCTTTTTATTCATTCTAAAGCTGGATGTTTGAACACTAAGTCTTTTGAAAAGGCATCTGACTCAGGAACATGAACATTTCTATAATTTCTTACACTCCAGTTGACTGGCAGCCATCAAGGCCACAACTAAGTGACATTAAATAAAACCTCAAATACCTCGGGGTAAAAATCTTAGGCCTCCAGATGAAGAGAATGATCAAAATAAAACAACACTTAAGTTCTAATGCACCGGTCCCCAAACATTTTCTGCAGTGCCCTCCTTTTTGGAGACAGAGCTTACCCCATTCAATAGCATACTGTTTTGATGCATATTGTGATATTTTTAGTCAAAGTTCTAAGTTCCTAGTTGTACATTTTTTAAAAGACGCCACCCTGAGATAAAATAGGGAAATAGTAAGGTTTTTTTCAGAACCCCTAGTGGGGACAAGAAGGAACGAATATTTCTTCTTTGGATCATCCTGGACTCACTAAGATTCAACAGCTTAAATATAAAAAATTAAAATAGTCTTAAATTGTTTTCTTAAAATGTATATTTTGCTGATCATATCACTACACAGAAACTTGGGTTTTTTTTGTTTTTGTTTTTTTTAAACGCCACATATTTCACATTAAGCACAGATTCATCCACAAATCACTTTGGCCTCTGGGCAGAACGAGTTTAGTGGAATACATTTCAGACATTACATCTTTATAAACAACAAAAAAGTGCAGTCATTTACAACAGTACCCATTCATGAGTCTCAGCATTAGCTTTAACAGAAACATGAATATTAACGATAACTCTCACAGGTCGTGTAACCACTGAAACTGATGCACAGAAAAGCACAGGTTAGCCCTTTAACACAAAACTCAAATATCCATAGCAAGAGGCAAGAAACAGAACAACACCCACTTGACTTCTAAGACTCTGTATATACACTGTAGATGTGGAAATGTACAATAATCTTTCACTAAAAGTGCCATGAATTATCGGCAGTAATTCCCCAAAAACACAGCAGAGGAACAGAGGATTAGATGAGATGTAAAATAGAAGTACACAAGGTGTTTGAAAAATACATGCAGCAGGAGAAACTAAGTACTAAGTATTTCATATTTCATGGTATAAGTTGTGGATGTTTTAGTGGCCATTTTTTTAAGCCTGCCCCAGCTGGCCAGCCATGGTTTTGCACCCAGAAATGCTTTTTTAAATGACATTTACTCAGCTTTACAAAACTGTCCTCAGCTGGACTCATCAGTCTCAAATACAACCCATCTGCCAATCAGAGGCTTTCTAACTCAGTACTTTTACCACCAACATGAACAGAACTTACAACACAAACATCACGTGCATCGCGTGTCATGCTGAGAATGTATCAATTTTAAGATTCGACTCGGAGATTTCAGTCCCACATCAGGTCATTAGAAAACTCAGTCAAATATTTGACTTGGAGATTTCAGTCCCACATCAGGTCATTTTGTTGTTGACGTTTGGGTTTTGGCCACACCAGTAGAGCTTGTCTTCTCCTCCCCTCCTCCTCCTCCACTGGCAGAGCAGGAGCATGCGGAAGGTCTTCTGGAAGGTTTTGTTACAGAGGGCGTAGCACATGGGGTTGATGGTGCTGTTGACGTAGCACAGCCAGTAGCCCAGGTGCCACAGCGACGTAGGGATGCACTCGGTGCAGAAGGTGGAGATGAGGACCATGATGTTGTACGGCGTCCATGTCAGGATGAAGGCCAGGAGGATGGCACTGAGGGTCTGGGCGGCTTTCTTCTCCTTCACCAGCACCATCCTCTTCCTCTTGGTGATGTGGCTCTTCAGGGTGGGGTCAAGAGGCTTAGAGGTGGTGGATGAGGCGGAGGGTGAGACATTTTGCACCGGCTTCTTTTTGTCTGGTGGGCAGGGGGTTGTTTCAGGGACAGGGTTGCCATTTTTACCCTTTGAACCAGGGTTGAACTTATAGGAGATGCACTTTCTACTGGTTCTATTTGGAGGAGTGGAGAAATACTGGTCTTCTGTGTAGTCGGTCAAAGGTCCATTCTTGTTACTCTGACCACCACTAGACTGCTCCTTAAAAGACCCTGGGTCCATTCTTGTTACTCTGACCACTAGACTGCTCCTTAAAAGACCCTTCAGGGGTCTCCAATGAAAAATGCTGGTCCTCCTCCTCAGAGGAGGTGTAACTGTTGAAAGAAGTGATCTGGTCTCCTTTTGTCCAAGCCTCTTCCGACTGAGTGGTAGTCTTTGTGGCATTACTCTGGTTGGACGAGGACCAGGAGGCCTGATTCCGATCTCTGCTCTCTCTGGTAAAGTGAAAACAGGAGTTAATAATAGTTTTCTGGGGTTTAATCCCCTCTGGAACGTTATCTGTCGCAAGACCTTGCAGTTCTGCCAGATCTTTGGTCCGTTTTTGTGTCTCCTTGTAGATCCTGCAGTACAGGATCGTCATCACAGAAACTGGGATGTAGAAAGCAGCAATGGCTGTTCCGAATGTGATCACAGGCTCAGTCAGAAACTGGATCTGACACTGGTCCTCAGGCACGTTTCTTTCCCCTACAAAGTACTGCCAGCACAGAATGGGTGGTGCCCAAAGAACAAAAGACACCAGCCAGGCCAGGCCGATCATGACGGCAGCTCTCTTTGGAGTCCTCTTTGCCCTGTAGGTCAGCGGCCTGGTGATGGAGAAGTACCGGTCGAAGCTGATGACAAGTAAGTTCATGACTGAAGCATTGCTGGCTACGTAATCCACTGCAAGCCAAAGGTCACAGGCCAGGTTCCCCAAAGACCAGTACCCCATCAGTATGTAGGTTGTGTACAAGTTCATGGACAGCACTCCTATGATGAGGTCGGCAAACGCCAAACTCAGGAGGTAGTAGTTGTTCACAGTCTTCAGCTGGCTGTTGACTTTGAAAGAAAGCATCACCAGCACGTTGCCAACTATAGTGATTAAACTGACAACTGCTGACACTGTGGCGATGGTTATAACCTCCCAAACGCTGTGGGCAGCATCTGGGATGTGCGATGTGTTGCCAGAGGTGCTGTTCTCCATGATGGTGTGTTGGAATGGTCCTGAAATGAAGAGAAAAACCAGCAATGACACACAGTTGTATGCAACATGCTGCATTTATGATGTTTCTGAAATTCATTTGAATTATCTTTAAAAAAAACTGAATTAATTACTGGAAATTATATTAGCTAAAAAAAATACTGAATTAATTACTGGAAATTATATTATAAAATAATGTGTTTATATAATATATATATATATATATGTGGCCACTTGTAATTTTCTTAGAAAGAATACATACAGTATATATAGCATTATTTGAACAAAACTAAAAAGTAATGTAAACATTTTAAAAATGCATAAATTGCAAATAATGTTTTTTCTCATTCCTTTAAGGTCTATTCGTTCGGAACACATTGGATAATAAATCGAGTCCGGAACTAAATCGAGTTTTTTCGTCGGACGCCTTTCAGTGTAACTCCCGTGTGCGTCACAGTCTAAACAGTACGACGACTACAGCAATGGAGGGAAGAATGAGCCGAGGCCGTGGCGGTAGTTGGAAAAGAGGTGGCCGAGGCGGACACGACGGTGACTCTGCCGGCAGTGAACACCGGGGCAGAGGCCGGGGAGGTCACCACCGTGGTAGGGGCAAAAGAGACCATTATCGTGGTCGTGGTCGTGGTGGAGGAGGCGACCAAGCGGTGAATCTGCACCAGGTCAGACATATACCCTTAGTTAAACAGTTACATTACACTATTAAATATTAAATATTAATATTATTATATTAAGAATAATGCTAAATTCACCAAGAATGAGAATTCAAATTTCCCTTGTTTTTGCTTCGACCATGTCAGTTATTACTTTGGTGCATTTACGTCATTTTTTGTGGCTATTTGTAGATAGTGCAGAGATAGTTATTATATTACTTACATTATTTACAGTAGACGGTATTACCTTTTCCCGCACAATTATATGCACAGTAGAGTTGTACAGTGTAAATATGATAACATGTAAATAAATTAAATACACGACCACGTAAAACAACAGTAAAATTACTTTAATTTACTTTACTTTTATTATTAACCAGTACTTTAACCCCCACCCCACCATCATCACAGTCATGCAGATTGTGTTTGGTTCAGTTGGAGGCAGTAATTCACCATAAACTGTGATTGTGCAGTTGTTGGCTCACACTCTGTGATCATGTCAGCTGGGATGGATTCCAGCTCCTGCTTTAAAGCCCCAGGACGATGAACGAACCAGTTGCCAGACCAACTAATCAGTCGACCTTTAGTGTTTTATCGCACAAATTAAAACCTTACAGGAGTATCATGGTAGTGATCTCACCACCGTGCTTTTTATTGTCGGGCCCTGAATGTGAAAGCAGGGGCATCAGCAGCTTAATTTCCACCGGGGCCGTTCAGATCACTGGATGCTCCTCCTGCTAGGCTAACTGCAGAATTAGACAGGAAACAATAGGTGTTCTGTGATTGCAATCATAAAGCATGTCTTTGGTTCATAGGGGCTCCTTGATTGCAATCATAAAAATCTCATCTGCTGCTTCTGTGGCTGCCATGTGTTTGATGAGATTGTCGTAAAAAAAACAAAAAACAAGTGTTGTTTTAAAAAGGGCAGTGTTAAATACACAGGAGTATAACTGCTGCAGCATGTTTCCATGACAGCGTGATTAAAAGGCCTCACACTCCACACACTGTCTGCAGTGGGAGAAAAAGCTGTGACTCAGACAAATTAGACAGCCTCAGTTTTTACACCAGCTTCCGTGTTACGGGTCATGTCCGTTACCTTGACCCATTTGTTAGTCCTGGCTACCGGCCGTGACTGAATGCTATGTGTTAATGAGCACACTTGTTACACACTAGGGGTTTGTATTGGCAAGAAAAGATCACAGTGGTGTCCTCACCTAGTTTGGTAAAAAATATTCTTTTCCAGAAGGTGGCAGTAGTGCAACAGAGAGTTGTACACTGCTGTAAAGACTAAAAAAAGAAGAAGTGACATCTTAGTGCATGACCCTGATGGTCTGTTGGTTTTAATGTACGTTTCACCACTTTGGGATTTTTCTACTACAACTCTGTCGATGTGTATGTTGTGTTAGAATCAAGATGGAGGAGACAGGGTGGAGGAGGACGATTACAGGGGGGAGGTCTTCTCCAGAAGGAAGCTGGAGTCCAACTGGGATCGTTACAAAGAGTCTGAGAAACAGGAGCCAGGCAATGACGACACGCCCACTAAGAGAGGAGAAGATTTCCAAGTCCTGCTGGAGACCGCAGGTAAGACATGGACATGTTTGTTTCCTTTGACTCCAGGCTTTGATCTGAGTTGGTCTTTAACACCAGGCCTGATGATTTTTTTTTCTAAAGATGTTTGATATAAAACTAAAAATAACAACAGGACAACAGCAGGATTAAAACTAATGGTTTGAGTTTGACTTAATTGTACCAGCAAGTGTCAAATACCGGTACCTTCCACTGAGGTCTGACTGTTTTGTCACCAATTAGTGAAAAGAAAAATGTCCGTCTGTCTGCACACGCTCTTAATTGCTCTTTTTGGACGGTGCCGTTGGACGGCCGTGTTGAAGGGTCTGGTTGTTTGCTCATTTCTGCCTCGGTGGTCTGTTTTGGCAGTGAAGTGAAGTCTCGCTCTACAGCCTTGTAGCCTCTGTGTGTGCGTGTGTGTGTGTGTGTGTGTGTTTATTTCTTATTCCCAACTGAGAAAGTGTCTCTTATTAAAGCACAGGCCCAGATTTATTGATTCCCAGAAAAGAGCTCATCACATTTAGCCCATGTCTCATGTTGAGTTAAATGAGGCAGACACTTACCTCCCCCTCCCCCCCTCGTCCCCCCCTGGAGTGTGTGGCCTGGTTTGCACTCGTTAAAAGACTCCCTAATGTTGAGTTATTAAAATCAGCAGCTGTTAATGTCTGGAGCTGGTAAACAGATCAAACCAGCCTGGATCTCAGCGGTGGCATCTACTGGTGAACTGGCAGAATCACTGAAACGGGACGAAAGTTCTGAAGGACTTTGGCCAACAAGTCTGTCGTCTGTGGCACCTACAGCATCAAACTCTGCACGTTTAAAAAAACACACAGTTGACTTGTGTTTTCTCCAAGAGAATCTTGGCTAATGTCTGGTTTTTGCTTGTTTTTTTGTTTTTTTTTGGAGCAGCAGTACCATTCATTCACATTGAAACTTTACATAGATTTCTGTAAAAAGTAAAAAATAAAAATAAAAAAGGGCAACTCCTTCTTTCTCCCGCAGAGGGTGCTGTAAACACAGTTCTAAAGCCACAATCCGTCTGTCATTAGAAAGAGAAAATTCTTCAAAAGTTGCACTTTTTTCTCACGAAATCATTTGAGAACCTTTCTTTGAATGGTTCTTTTTTCCGTGTGCTGCTTTTCTTTAGTTTTCTTTCTAAGAAGAATCTATTGACTTTCACTGCATACCTGTCTCATTTTCAAGGCTCCCATTCCTTTCTTTTTGAAACCACTTTTTTTTTCTTCCTCGATTATTATTATATAAATGAATTCTTTTATCCAACAGTATAACTCCAAACCCAGAGCATTGACTGTGGTCAATGCTCTGGGTTTGGCGCCTCATGCTGCTGAAGTCTTTACAAGCTAGAACTGGCTCCAAGGTTTTGTATTTGCTGCTTTTTCAGTTCAAGTTCAGCAAACGTTTTGTAATTTTACTTCAAAGAGTCGAGTATTTTATAACAACTACCAGATATTTGATGAAAGGTGCCCACAATACCAGGCTTGTTTTTGTTATTTTTCTTCTTAGGCTAGAAAATATTATTTACATCGCAAATACTGAATAAAGAAAATATTGAATTATTTTTTTACAAACCGCAAAAACAAATGTATTGCATGTAAATATGCATATTTTTTAATTAGCATATATATATATTTGTATGTATTTTTATATGTGAACACCATATGAGTGTCAGTACAATGTGTTCTGTGATTGTGAAGTACTTCACGTCTCGATGCGTTGGTTGGACACATCTATGACACAAGGACAACTCTCACTCCCCCCATTCCCTCGGCCCATTTTAAGGTATTTCTATTTTATTATCCACAGCTCCATGTAATGGGCTGAAAGTCCTTCACTGTACTGTGTGAAGTGGCCATAACTGCCCAGAGCCCGAGTCTGAAGCTGAAGTGTCGATCTATGGCTGAGTCATTTAAATGATGAATATAAATTCACAGTGAGTCCAGGCTTTCACACCAACTTCACTCTGATTTTTTACTGGAACGTTCTAATTGATATTGAATTGTTCAGTGTCCTCTGAAGAGCTTGTGTGTGGTTGGTCTGTGGTCCAGATGTTTGGGCTGCAGTGTTGTGCCTTCATTGTTAGGTCAGTCGTCCAACTCCATGTCATACTCCAGCTCAGCACACGATGCTTAATTGCACGTGGGAAGCTCCAAGACTCTAAGTGTCGTTTTTTCTGGCTAATTAAGGGTAGCTATGAAATCAAGAATTTTCCACGGGGGAAAATTTTTATTTTATCTTGTTAGCAGGATTGGCTAGAACATTGCGGTGAAAAAATAAATGCAAGTGTTTATTATTATTTTCAGATAAAATCATGCGGCTGTGTTGCATATGCTTTTAAAATTTCAGAACATACAGCTAATTGATTTGTATTTTTTCTACACTACTGCATGATTATCTTAACATTCTATGGACCAAATAACGAAGCCATATTCTAAAGATCAGAAAAATCGGTTTGACTCTACACTTTTACTGTTGTTGCGGCTCAACGTGAGACAGATTTCAGTGATTCCACGGCCAAAGAACACAGTGTATAAATATACATCTGAGTAGGTGGAGGTTCCTCTGAGTCTTTCGTGACATTTACAGGTAGAAGCTCCAATAAAAACATCAATACTTACACATTTGTTCACAGGATTCTCAGATCTGAAACGATAGCTGCTTGGACGTCAGTTTGGATCATTAGCATTAGCCAGAGGAGACAAGGAGTTGTTTTGTTTTGTTTTGTTTTTTCTCCCATGCTGCTCGGTGTGTGATTTAATTTGGTTTCCAATAATATTGATGAATTTGTGTTGTTAATATAAACTCAGTATAACATCGACTCTATTTACATTCCTCTGTTTTTTTGTTGTCGTTATTTTTGCATAAAAGGAACGAGTATTACTATTTCTACACCGCAGGTATTCTTGTGATCAACAACAGCCCCACTGGACATGACCTACTGCCCCTGCCTGTGTGTTTGTGTTCATTTAGTGCACTGACGATAATCACTTCATGGTGAAGCCGTTTAAGTGCGCTGCGTTTTCTGGCCAGAAAAATAAAATGTCCAACAGCGGCTAAAGATTAGAGTGGAATGGACTGTTGAAACATCAATAGTGTATTAGCATCGCTTGTTTCTGTCTAAGAGACCTGTCAACACAGACAGGTTAAAGACACACACACACCCCCCTCCCCCCCACGAGCCCCCCATGATCTGTAGGTCCAGTCCTGTCTGCCACACTGGGGACGTGGATCAGGTCAGAGGAGCAAAATGTAACAAATAAAACAAAAGTTTGTTTGATTTTAACAGCAAAGGGATTGAAGACAGTCTTTATCGGTGTAAAAAAAAAAAAAACGACTTTCATGACGAGATGTCGTCCCACAGATGGAGACGGTTTGATATTATTGTGGTCTGATATGAGCGGCGTCTCATATCCTGGTTTGTGCCGCTTCATATCCAGGAGCACAGACAACACCTCGGACCTGAAGGTCCAGGCTGCTGCAGATGAATGTCTTCTTATCTCCTCCCATGTGTCGCTCATATTTATGTGGTCTTTGTCCCTCAGACTCCTGCACTATGGAAGTTTAGGGTTTTTCTTTTTTAGAATAGTCTGCAAACGCTCGTTCCTATTGGTCGGTATAATCTGGTTTTGTGCGGCAGTGACAGCTCTAATTACACTGTTGAAGTTCATTCTCCTCCACATTTGTTAACCGGCTGCTAATTTCCTGCCTGCGTGTGTGCTGTGTGGAAAAATGCTGAGCGTCAATTAGCATCGTGGATAATAGTGGCTAATGAGAAGTTTAATCAGCAGCACGAAGCAAACATAGTATAATATGAAATGGTTGACCCGATATTATGTAAACACACTAAGTCAATATAAGGTACAAATGTGAAATGGTTCAGTGACGTATTTATATAATATATAGAAATGTACTTTTGTTGACCTTTATTTCCTTTTTTTTTTGGAAAATATGGTAAAAATTATTTTAGGCTGATTCCGAGCTATTTTTGTTACATACTTAAAGTCTTACATGTCTTAATACATTTTTACCATATTCTTTTTTTAAAATCTGGCTAAAACTTATCTTTAAAAACTCTTTGGCTAACCTTTATTTGTAAATGCAAAATCATTGGTAATTTCTATATTATTTGATGTGTGTTATTTTAAGTTGAAGCTAACAATTGATTAGATTTGTTTTTTCACCATGTTCAAAAATCATTAAACGCTTTAGCATTAACAGCTAAGATAATTCAGAGTGTCGTTTAATTTACTCTTACTCATCTGAACTATTTTGTTTTACAGTCGCAGATTTGAACCGCTGTTAATTATCGCTGTAACGGACGCCTTATTAATTCCAGAGTGACTCTTCAGTCTGTGGTCGGACGTTTAAACAGCAGCGACAGATGAAGTCACATCAGCCTTTCCTTTCCTTGTTTGACTTATAGCATTACGACTCCGTGTTATTCTGTATCCAAAACACTGTAGAAACAAATGACTTTTGTCCCGTCTCTGTCCACAGTCGCTTTTCCTGCCGTTCAAGCTTTTTATAGCACAACAAACCCACGCTGAGAAAATGTTTCTGTTCTTTGTGTTAACAGTGAACAAACAGAATCCCTGACATTTAAATTGTACATTTAAAAAAGGTTTAATTTAAGGCCTTTTTTTACCAGGAACTTTTGTAGTTTCCCTGTACTCTGATATACTTTTCTCTAGGAATAAAAATCAGTGCCAGGTGAAATTGAAGCTTAAATCACTGCATGAGAGGAATGAGGATTTGAAGCTTTTGACTGAATTCATTATTTTACTGTGAAATCTTGTTAATATCTTTTGTGTTCAGACTAAGTTTCAAATGTTTGGCTTTTAATGAGTTTTGGACTTTTTGAGCTTGTTTTTTTTTTGGCCATCGTTTCAGATTTTATTCCCTTTTGGATAAGAAGAATTTCCAGAGTAGTTTAGGTTTTTTGTATTAAACGTGTATTTAACAAACTCAAAATGTCTTTTGAGTTTTCTAACCCTCAGTTATGGTAATGCTAATGCTTTTTTGTGCCAAACTTTGAGCAGTCATTGTGACATCTAGGCAAACGTTCAGGTTCTTGTCATTTTTTTAGTCCAAAAAATGTCAGTCCCAATTTTTTAGGGGCTTTTTGTTTGTGATCAGGTGATTTTACCACATTTCTTGGCTAGTTTTTTAGCTTTGGTTATTATCTAACCCCAACCTAACTCTGAGTTACATAATCATTTCTTTCTAGTTCAACATTATACATTACACTTGTACTCAGTGTGTGAGGAGGAGGCGCGGAAACAGCTTGACCAAAGCTGGGCTGAAAAAGAAGACCTTGAATCTTCTGAAACTACATAACACTAAAAAAAAACTTCTTTGGTGCCTCAAACACCTTCAGGATCAGGAGCTTCAGTTGTATTTTCTTTTTCCTCTTTTTCATCGACTGAATTTAAGCACACGATGTCATCGAGGTTTTAAGGAGGCAAATTGCTGTTTGTGTGGCTGAGGCAATTTTATTTTGTCAGCTCTCAGTCTTGCATTGTTGGGGGTTGATTGCACTGTTGCTAGGAGGGGTAAATGCACACACAGACACACAGACAGTTCTTTTGTTCCATGAACCTGTGCGTGTACAACTGGGGATGTAAATTGCGGGGCAGCTATTTACATCCTCGTACGGCCATCTATCTGTACACATTAACACAAGGATCAATCCTCGTCCCCCGCAGCCGTAGTTTAGCAGTGCTGCTAATGGGCACCCATCAGGCCTCAATCATAATGAAACCAAAGGAAATCGCATTAGAACGTCAGTGATTCGGATAACTGGATTGACAAACACAAGGACGTTCCTCTAACCGAGACAAATATTCCCAATCATTCCATTCATTTGTGTGTTCCGGTGTTGTTATGGATACTCGATTAGCTGCAGCGCGGACACTGGTGGTGGTTTGGCATCAAAGCGGAGGAATGAGGCCGTTGGTTGTACAGTGAGGGGGAACCACTGCAGGACCGGCTGCTGAGGCCAGAGACTGTTCACTAACGACCAAAGGACGGTCCCGTCAGCTGTGATCATTCCTGACTTTCATCCTTGCCACTCTGAACTTGTGTGTTTATTTCAGAGAAAACTTCTCAGAAATAGGCGTCGCTCTTTGCAGAATAGTTGTCCGGTAATTATAAATAAATAGGCGTCACTCTTTGCAGAATAGTTGTCCGGTAATTTTAGGAATCATTTTGTCATCAGTCAGCGTATGATCGCACTCCTGCCTCAGATTTAAAATAACAGCCAGGAATGTTCTTGTTGCTGCAGATACATGATTTTCTATTGGTTTATTAATTATTATTAATTATCTCCTCTTGTTATCCATCCCAGTTGCTGCAAAAGATTCAACTCTCTGACTCGTACTCAGCCTCTGTCTCCTAACTCTACATCACACTGTCACAGAACCATCACTGTACGTCAACATTATTCTTCACAGAGGAATTTTGAAACAGAGAGAGGGAACGACTGGAAATGTCTTATCATGGCATTTTCCAACATAACATTAAAGAATCCATGTCATCAGTCAAGGACAGTGTCTCTGGAGGTCAAGGCTGGAAGCTGCCGCTAAATGTGCATGAACATGCATAGTCTGTATTATGCAAAGAGGAAACCAAACATTGACAATTAATATCATAAATGTTGGACCTAAAAAATAGAAATATCATCTGGACCCAAATCTGTAAAAAATCAGATTATTCTAGGTGAAAAGAGCATAATAAGAAATAAATAAAATAAGATTACCAAATTACAGGGTGTTTTTAATAATTCTTTTTAGTTTAGAAATTATACTAACATTTCTGGAAATTTGCTTTAGTTATTTAATTTTGTTTGCTTTGCAATGTTTTTAGTTTTCTATTTCTAAAAATATTAAATTTCACTATTAGAAATAACAAAGTAGATAATTCCTCTCATTCTAAGTTATGGGAAAAATTGATGATTTTTTTTTTTGGGGGGGGGTACAGCCTTTAAACCTCTACATTTTTGAATGTGATGGAGGCTTGAACTTCAACATCTTTCCTGAGAAGAAAAAAACACCTCTTCTAAACTGTTGTTCTGGAACAAATTGACTGACATTAAATATTGTGGAGCACTTATCTCTAATATAGTGAATATTTAAATCTAAAGTCTTTATAAGGTCGCAGTGAGTGGGATTTGAGCTCAGCAGTGCCTGGAGTATAAAAGCTGGAGGTGACAGGTGATGAAGCCCAGCGCTGGCTCAGTGATTCATTAGCAGCTCTGGCTGCATGTTCGCTAATAAAAATTTAATAACAGTAGAATTTATAATATGACTTTTATTAAACAGTAAGTGGAGCCAGTTGACAGCTGCTGTTTCATTTCCTGCCATAATAGTCACATCAAAGGGAGAACACACTCACCCTGACACAACGCCACCCCCAAGATTCCAACGGACGCTATGCCACGGCTCTGATCCGCGTTTTCCTCTTTAGTCCGCCGTCTGTCCTCCGAGACTTCAGTCGGTATCTTTTTCTTCTTCTTCTTTGTTGTTGTCGTCTTTTTCTCTCTCTTTTTTTTTTTGGTGCGTCTTCTGTGCTGTTTTGTTTCGCTCACACAGCTTCACACCTTTCTCTCACTCTCTCCTCCCCTCCCCTGCTCGCTCTCCTCTGACTTTTTTTCCCTCTGTGCTCCTCTCTCCAATGAGGTGAAAAACACACTTGTCAAATACGGGTAGGTCATCGCGTCGACTCTCATCCTCAACAGTTGCTAAGATCGAGATGCTTGGGTGAAAAAAACAAAGTTGTTCAGCATCATCTAGTGGTCTGACGGAGCCTGACAGACAGTGTGGTCAGAGACGCAGCAGCAGCAGCTGTTCAGCCGCCTCCATGTGACAGAGCCGTCCTGATGGTGGACTTCACAGGAGGCAGATCACTGAGTGGTAATCAAAGCGAGGGCCGAGGCTCTCTGATGGCCGCAGCTCAGACTCGAGGTGCGTTTTTTTTTAGAAAACAAAGGAAGTGACAAACCTTAAAAGTTTTTCACCTTTTCCTTCAAAGTTTGACAAAGGAGAACAGCGGGACCGCAGCCTCGCCGGTCTTCAAGACGACACAGGTCCAGTGACCTTTGCTCTCTTGTCAGGCTCCATCTGAAGAAGAAAACCTGCTCTCATCCTCACTGCTGCTCTTCACTGTGAGATGTAGCCACACTGCCAGGAGCCCGTCTCTGTAACTGAGCGTGAGGGAGGCAGGCGGAGGTGAAGAGGTGGAGGAGTGGGATGTAGCACGGTTGGAGGGGGAGGAGCTGAGTCGACGTGGATGTACAGGAGGGGCCGCCTGTTTGCCTGTGTGTGTCGTTCACAGCTCTATGTTCTGTCTGATCAGTGAGGTAATGCATCCACAACCACAGGTTCCTCAAAAACACACACTCACGCTCAACTTCATGGTTACCTGGTTGATGAGTGTGTTTGGCCAGCAGGTGGCCTGACTTGAAGGCAGGCTCAGTGACCGTTGAGTCACGCAGAGGTGTGTGAATTCAACGTGCTGATTAGCTCCAGAGCTAACAACAAGTATTTTTCCAGTAGCGAACAGACAGGAAAGTCCTGCGGTGAATAATGGTCATTTCCTTTTAGCAGACTAGCTACATTTGTCAACTTCATACCAGAACTGTTTTGTTGAACACAGCCAGATAATCTACAGTATTCAGTGAGGTGTTAGCGTTGACTTGCCGTGATGTGATGTTACCATTGACTTTTTTCTAATGAGCTGTGAAGATGTGGTTCGTTTCCCATTGACTTTGAAAGACGAAACCTTTTTGGGACTCAAACCTTTTCAGCTACGCTGCCTCCGATGTGAACGACCAACACATCATCAGTGACGCTCAGTTCTGTGGAAACGTTCAGGGCAATTAAATACATCAACTTCCTCTTCAGGGGATAGAATGGTGCAGCGTTAAGACTCTGAAGGTTGTGATGTCATCAAGTCTCTGCTGTGGTTACGTCCAGACCCAAGTCTTCTTCCTTAACCACCAACTATCTTCATCCTTTTTTTATCTTGTTTTTTTCTAGAATATAAGAAATTTGTTGGAGAAATTAAGGATTCAAATGCAACAAAACTAAATGTTAACCTTTACAGGACCTTTTGGGGGCGCTGAGAAGGTCACGGAGAAGTCTTCTTTATGGCTGTGTTTGAAGATAGAAAATTGCGATCAGACGCCAAAGTTCTTTTAAAAATACTGTCGATCATTTCATTGTTGTGCAATTAGTTCATAATGAGAGCTCATTAGAAAGCCTTCCTGCGTACAACGCAGTGGTTCTGTTGGTTGTGGTGCCTGCCAACAAAAACGGTTCTTGATTTGCATCCCAGTTGTGCTGTTTGGTTTTTTTTATTCCTGATTCTGGATACTGTACTTTCACGGTGCTTCAAACAGAAAAACCTTTCACAGAATGTGACGTATCATTGTTCATCTTATTAGTAATCCTGGTCGCAGCCTGTGCTCTGGTCATGTGATGGTCATGTGATGGTCTTGGTCTGACCTGGCCAGGTTGCCGGCCGCCCCTTGACTCAGCGTCAGTTATGATTGGCCTGATGATGGATCTACTGATGTTTCTGTGGTTAAACAGTTTCACAGCCTTTGAAAACTGAGTCTTTGTTGTTAAATGATCAGTTTTATACTATTGCTGAAAAATTAATGATCTGGTAATTAGTGTATTTTGATTTTTTTTCCCTTAAAAAAATGTTTTCGAAAAATGTCCGGAACTTGTGGTTTTGATCCTCACTCTCCATGGTGAAATCAAATAAAGACAAATATCTGTCTTTACATCGCCTGGCCACTAGTCTGAAGGCTGCGTATTGACAACAGTAAAATTCAATGGATGTGAGCAGTGTTTAATGTCACTGGGATTTCAGTTAATGAGCTACAGAGATGTACGGTGATGGCTCGATTTCAGCAGATTATAGACATGGCTGGTTTCACACCCACTCCTCTGACCCCCCGCGTCACCGCCACCGGGTCCTGATGCTCTCAATCACCACAGATTAATTTGAGACCAACCATTTAGAGCTGGGTTTTTTTACTTATTGTTAAAGAAGGAACACATTTTGATTTCTTCTTTCTTTTTTTTTGTGCGTGAAGCACCATTTATCGCGTCATTGCTGTTTCAGAAAAGGTGCAAAAAAAAATACGGAGACTATTACCTGAGATGTACTGAGCTGCTGGAAACTATTTTCCACATCCATCTTACAGCAGTAACTGAAGTGGTCACTATTGTCCACAGTGGAGCAGGTTGCCAGGATGCACCGTGACATCCCAGAGGCTTTTTTTTTTATTTTTTTGACTTCATTTCTTGGATAATGATGAGCGAAAAAATCCTTTAAACTAAAGTCCATATTTACTAAGGCCTGTCAAAATATTGATATGTTGGTTGTGCCCCCAGATAATTCTCTTTTTTTCTTGATGTGCTACATCATCGACAACCTTTAAATCTGAGCCAGTTAATTGAGAAGATCGCGGTTTGTAAAGAATTACCATATTAATCAATGAATCCTCTGATTCTCTGCTTCAATTAAATATAATTGCCCTCTGTCCTTCACACCTCCCACACTGTGATGCCCGCCTCGTGATAAATAACAAAAACAATGGTGATAATAACGCTGCGTGAAGCCCTCGGCTGCTTGTTTTCTCGGCTGTCATCCCACTCCTTCCTGCACATTTCGCAGCAGTGTCAACTCCAGGCCCATTAGCCGTGACCAACCAGACGTAGCGTTTTGTCATGTGTCAGATTTTCCTTTTCTACCACAAACATGTGCCTCAGTACACAGTGTTAGCAGCTACTTGTAACATATTACACTAACAAGAGAAGCTCTGATTCAAGTGGCATTTGAACCTTTTAAAAGTGTAGCCTTAAATTCTTGCTCCTTTCTGCTCTTTATCCTTCAGACGATGAATACGTGTGTGTTTGGAGTTTCTTCCTCGTCCTTTGATTGTCACTTTGTCTTCGGAGGTTCACGTAGGTCAGTGCTTCTCAATTTGCCCAGCGTAACCCTATTTTGACATCACAAATTTCATGGCGACCCCAGAGACATTTGAGTAGCTGTCACATGCGTGGTCATGTGATTGCAGCTGTCAGTCAAGACGCTAAGATATTTTTATATGCTGGTGCATTAAGGTTGGTGTGGTTATAATCATCATTTTTTAATCAAAGCAGCAGTAGTAGTAGTAGATTTTTTAAGGGGACCTCTTTTGAAATCCAGACCACTTCACATGGGGTCGTGACCCCAAGGTTAAAACAACCACTGGTGTAGGAGCTACAGTTCTTTACAAGAACAAGTTCAAGAACCTTCCAGGCAGGGTTTACAGACCATTTTAATATAATACCTTATTGTGATTATTCGACTTTTGAACGAAGTCCTTGGCAATACTTTACTGTAATTATTCGACTTTTGAACGAAGTCCTTGATCCTTTGAAGTCCTTTAAACGTGGAGAGAAATCAAAATACCTAGAAACACTTGAACTTAGTGGCATTTCCACAGACGTCTAACATATTTGCAGAAACTTTATGGGTCTACGGTAACAAAGCCATTGTGAGAGGGAAACCTTGGATTCCATGGAACCTTGGAAATTATAGCAGGTACCTTCTATTCTCTGTGTTATTCTTTGGAAGTACAGGCCATGTCAACACCTTGGTAGTTACAGACGTTGGTGATAATTACTCTTGTAATGAATAATCACTTCAGGTGTCTGTGTACTGACCGGGTCCACAGAGTCTGTCAGACGGTGATCGGCTGTTCAGGTCACAAGAATAAACCTGGGAGAGAAACTCAAACATTTGAAATCCTGCCGTGCTACCAGTCATAATATTTAGTTGTGATTTACACCGCCTCGGTGTAGTTGCTAAAATAAAGATCAACCCTACCAGCAGTAATCATTAATTTGATTAATTTGTCCTTTTCAGGTCCATACCAAATATGAAAGTATTTCAGTAGCTCGTTTACACTCGTTTGTATGTAATTCTTCCAGCAGGATTTTGAAGCTGAACTAAGACGGAGAGATTAAGATTTGTTTTGTTTTTGTCCTTCTGATTATAAACCAGGATTTGTTTTTCCACAACTGTGGGACATGATGCAGGTCCGAACAATCTTGGAACAATAAAGGAAGTGAAAAAAAAAAGAAAACATTTCCTGCATCCATCTTCTAAATCCGATCCCCATCCAGAATGTAGCCGTATTCTACCAAAGGAAACCACCGTGTGTTTGACAGCAGCGGTGAAATATACAGGACATTGTCTCGGTTTATTTGCAGTGAGCGATCGTTTGTGCTCTGTTTGTCCTGCGAGTGTGTTTTCTGTCGAGCCTGGACATAAACCATGCACCCAGTCAGGAATGAGCGTCTTCTGATGACTTTAACTCATGAATAGTGGAATTTGGGATATCTGCAGAGAGAGAGGACCGGGCGCTGCTCCGACGTCCTGGTCTGGGTTTTTACACCGAGGCGTCTGTCACTTTTCATCCGTTCGTGTGTTGGAGGGATTGAACGGCTCAGGCGTCCAGGCGCTGTGGAGCCTTTCTGAGGCGGTCGGCGGGTCTTTATTTAGCCAGTAGTGGGTGCGTTGTTCTTATCTTCATGTGGCCTTTCCTGAGGACCTGTTTGAAGAAGATGAGAAAAACTCCTCGTAGGAATTCACTCGTGCTCACATATCAAACCGAGCACGTGTTGATCTGTCAGCTCATTAGGTGTAATCTTGCCTTTGTTGGCTGTAGAAATTGGCTGCTTGTTGCACATCATTGACCCCCCCCTCGACCCCCCGCTCCCCAACGATCAATATTAGCTGTTTTCCCATCTCTGTTGCTGAACATCTCAGGCTGTGATGCTCACTGGACCAGTGGAAAAGGAAGGTTTATGTCAGTCTGAAGCCACGCGCTCATGTTGGTCTGATTGGCCAGCTGTTCAGGCTTCATCATGGAATTGTCAGAGCGCATCTCAACGGCATCAGCCAAGGTTGAAACCTATGTTGTCCTCAAAGGTTTATTCTTATTTTTATGGAAGTAATTAACGCACGCAGGGCTAGGATTATTTCTGTCGTTTATTCTGACTTTTCTGCTCGGTTTTATTGACTCTTAATTTACTCCTCACTGCTTCAGGCTCCGTTTTGCTGTGCTTGTCCAAAAACAGACGCTCCTTTAAGAGGTTTTTTTTAATGGGGCTTAAATTTGAGGAATTATTGTCGTCAGAAAACGCAGTATTTGAGAGTTTTAATCCATGACACGAAATCAAAACGTGTGTTGGCATTTTACCAACCAAACTTCTTCCGTTTGCTGCGTAGCCAAGTGACAGTAGAGGCAACTACGGCAACAAACATGATCATGCAGTTTAGCTACAGTGCCCTCTGCTGGATTGTATACCACCTCATTTTCCCATTGGTTTTCCCAAATGATGTTTTGAACCGGAAATGTGACCTTTACCAAAAGACAAATTAGAGTAGAAAATCAAATGTGATTGATTAGGACATGTGATTGGTCCACACCTTATCTTCAAACTAGCAGCTAACCAGAGCAAGCCCCCGGAGAGTTAAAGCCGTGCAGAGATGACTTTGACATAAAAACAGCCCCCCCCGCCCCGTAATCCCTATTAAAAGTTTGAAAAGTAAACAGCCCCCCCTCTAACCCTCCGTTGTCTCGCCTGGTTTGCTTAGGATTTTAATTGCAGTTAGCGCAGACAGTAATTACTCGATTTCAGTTGGGCTAATTGGTTTGGCTAAAAAGGCGTGACAGGGCGCCTCCTGGAGGCACTGCACCTCCAAGTACAGTTGACCGGTTTTCACATGACATTGTCCTTTAGGCCGCCCCCCGTCCCCCATTTTCTCTGTTCTGTTTTCATCCCCCAGTTAGTGCCGGCGAACACTTCTCAGCTGGGATTTGTCATGATAGCAGTAACACTCCACGGTGCCTCGGCGCTGCGTACAGTCCCATCCAGAGAGGATGTGCTGTGACAGCTGCTTTAAGGAGGAGCAGTCATTCACCGGCCGCTCACTGCATCTCCAGCAGCAAATGGAAGAGGAAGAGGCAGCAGTGACAGACTGCTTTTCTTCCTCCAGTCTCGTAAAATACCAACATTTCACTGCAGGTGTGAGTGGAAACTGAGCAGCGTCGCTGCCACCTCTGGTCGCTGCGGTCAGCTGTGTGCTGAAGCTGTGGCACCGTCAACATGGACGTGCGTCTAGGTATTTGTAGTTTAGTTTAATTTTAATTTTTTCTCTTCTCTTTTTTTTTATTAGACTGTTAGTAAATGTCACACTTTCTGTGTGGGATGTTTGTCCATTCGTGCTCATATGAGAGACTGGACAGTGTGTGGTCGTTATTGGCTGATGCTCCTCATCATGATGTGTTATACGAGTTCAACAGAAGTCACATCTGGACTGCAGGCCGGACAGTCAAACATATGTAGTTTAAGCACAAAACCAAACTTTTGAGATTCATAAATTCCTTTTTTATAATTAATTTCAAAATGTTATTTGTAAAGGAGAGTAATTCCTGAGTTCAATTTGTTAAATCAAAATCCTCTGGTGTCACATGACGTGAGAGATTATGAAGCAAAATATAATTTATTTGATTGTTTGTCGTTTTTTGTCTTGTTTAATTCCAATCTCCCAGATTTATTGGAAGGCACATGTGGACCAGGCTGCACATCACTGAGCCACAGATAGATCAGCGGCTGTTAATAAAGCATCCAGCCAGTCAGAAGTCAAGAGAAAGGAAACCACGTTATGCAGGAGTTACACAATGGCCGCCGAAGCACTTAACACGCACCGTGATGAGTGTGACGAGTGCTGCTCTGTTTGTTCACACACCAAAATAACTCTGAGTGTCAGCTGCACTGACTCAACTGTTGCAGGGTTTTGTACAATTCACTGAAATGTGAACAGTTTTAACCGTTAACAGAGAGGAGCTGGAGTTGGCTGAGGGTTTACAGCTATTGGTTATTAGGCTACAGAATCCTAATATTGGATGGTCCTAAATATATATATATATATATACTGTATGTATATAAAATATTTGGTGTAAAACTGAAACTATTTTTTAAACATTGTCAGATTACTTCTGTTGACTCTTTTATGTCTAGTAGACTTTGTTTTTATTTATTTTTGCCGACTGTAGGGATGATTGCTGAGGGATGATTTAACGCTTTGCGCTGGTTTGTTTTAGCAATTTTTGCTAAAAAACCTAAGCTATTGTATTTACCTCCACCTTGTAGCCTGGCATTTTATTTACCTGTATATTTTCCATTGCTGTATATTTATTTAATTATTGCCCCTGCCTTGTATCTGTCTGGTGATTGCCTTTATATTTGAACGTTAATAATCGTGCTAACGTGCAGTGCATCTGTCTGTTGCTTCATTATGGCCTTGTTTCAATTATAAAGCACACGTTCTTGAAGGAAACCCAGACGGCCCTGGGTTTCACAGCTGAGACGGAGGCGAAGAATCTCCCCTCAGATTTCTCCCCCTCATTTCCTTTCCTTATTTCTCTCACACACTTTCCCTAGTTTTTTTTTTTTTTTTTGCACTCTGTCCTGTGGAGCGCTGACAGACGCTGCTGCTCTCATCCTCCCTGGCAGCAGTTGCCATGGCGGTGTCAGCGCCTCTGAGTCTACCTGGGATGGTATGTCTATGGACGTGGATCAGGATGAAATGAAACCTGGCTGTGAAGGTGTCACGGGGAGGCAGTTCACAGGTGTCAGGACTTGTGTTTGTTGGAGACATGACTGAGGCGACAGGAGGAGGTGTAGCAGGGGGATTACAGGTGCTATAGAACAGAGAGGAGCAGGAGTGACAGGAAGAAGCAGGAGGAGGAGGAGGAGGAAGAAGAAGATGGGAGTTTTGCACTGGTGCCAACTTGGCAGATATTTCACTTGGAAGATGTTTTTTGTTTTCCTTTGCCTTCAGGCACTGGAGTGGACATGATAAGAGCTGAATGACGTGTTTCACTGTTTTTCAGCTCTTAAACATGAATCGGAAATTAGCAACTGAATGAGAAGGAGGTTCTTGAATGCATCATTGTGATTATTGAAGTGTTCAGGACTGCCTGGAGTAATTGTGCTGATTCTAAGAGAACAATAAGAATTTTGATTGAATAACGAGACACGTGGGAACGACTGGTTTATTTTACCACTCTTTAATGTTTATTTTGTAGGTGACACCATGACTGTGTTTGTGATCTCAATAGATTTCCGGTCGTTCTGTGTGGAGTTTGTGTGTCTACCTGAGTGACAGAAGAAGAACCTTGTCCCCAGGACTGGAGTTGACTCGACTCCAGGTCCATACAGACTAGAGATTAGGTTAACATGACGCTGTAATGTTCCTGAATATGTGTTAGGTAATAAATGAATGGACTGGGACTGGAAACCAACTTCCACATTGACCTGAGCACTGGTTACCAAACCTCTGAGGAGTCATTTTTATTTTTCTTTCTTTGCTTTAAACTACATGCACGATCCAGATACAATTCTTGAGATCACTGAAGACAAAATACACGTCAGCCATTTGTTAAAGTCTTTCTTTCTTTCTGCTTTCATTCACATGTTTTGTACCTGAAACGTGAGACTTATCCTGATCCTTCTTGAGTCAGAGTAACGTGTTCATGTCAGACTTATCCTGGTCCTTCTTGAGTCAGAGTAACGTGTTCAGGAGAAATACAGCCTGATGTGATCCAGTCCAGTCAGGCTCAAGTGTGAGTCCGTTTTTACATGGATCAGTTTTGATCTCTTTTTAAACGTCTGGCTCTTTCAATGAAATCTCCTCAAGAGGAGGTTGGTTTTTAGATCGGCTTCAGTTAAGGAGCTGTGAATTTACTTTGGGACATTTTGTTCGATTTCCCGTCCCCCTCCGAGTGTGGAGTTTTAAGTCCTGATTTAAGCTGTGAGGGGCTAAAAAGGCACCAGTGTTTTTGATATTGGACGCCGTGACTCCAAGTCCACCTCCCGTCAGCCGTCACATAAAGCTGACATTCCCACTGCCTCCTCCTCACCCTCCTCACCCTCCGCCTTCAGCCATTGTACCCTTTGTAATGGCTCTATTCATAAATCATATTTCCCTCCTGACTGTTTGACAGCAGGGAGTCGACCCTGCAGACGAAAACAAAAGCTCTCCTGCAGCTCCTCCTGTTTGACCTCCTTCACCTTCCATGCAGCTGAGCAATGGAGGACAACCGCAGATGGTGTGGAGTGTCCGGAGTGAAAGGAAGAGTTTTCTGTAACATCATGTAGAGGGTTAGAGGAACAAAGTGAGGAGGGAGATAGGGAGGATGAGGGGGGGAGGTGGCATCTGACTGCAGCTCCTGACTGATCTCCCACTGTTGGTCCATCTGTGTGTGGCAGAATGAGTGTAGTCTGATGATCTGTAATCACAGGCTTTGATGTCAGACAGAGGAAATGATAATGATGCTGATGCTGCTGATGCTGCAGCCTCCTGTTCATCCTATACGCTGTTACAGTACAACAAAAAAATAGCTGACTTTCTAAGGAGGAAAAACAGTGCAAATACTAATTGTTGCTGCCATGTCGTAGCTCTCCTCCATTTAAACCCCCTCTTTCTCTGTGTGTTTTTTCCTCTCAGGAGATTCCTTCACTCAATTCCGATTTTTGGAGGAGAAAGGCTGGGAGATGGACTCGTTTACAGGCAGTGAGGTGAATCTATACCCCAGACAATCTGTGTGTCTTCTTTCGCTCATTGATTTGAACGCACACTCTGAGCAGGGAGCGTTTCTCCTCCTGCTAATGTGGCGTCTTGGTGAAATGCTGATGATTTTCCTTTAAAACCAGTGTTGATCTTATTTTAAAATATAAATATAAAATGTATTTGTAAGAAACCAGTTCATCATCCCGTTGTATGTGACGGGTGTGTTTTGACAAGCTCAGTATAATTGTCTTTTATAGTACCTGGAGTATAGGTGAGATTTTTTTTTTCCTGATTCTGACTTGTCACCTATTAGACACCAGTCATGGATGACTTCATCTAGAATCTAGATTACAGTATCTAGATTCTAGATACTGTAATGTATATAATGAACAGTGTGATGATGTAATGTGATGTAGATGTTCATGTAATGTCAACATGTGCTGTCTTGTTTTATATTGTGCTGTTGTTCTCTCTGCAGATGTCGCCTGTGTTTGTTGATCTTCCAGCTTTGGCCCAGACTCTTCAGCAGGTTCCTCTGCATCAGAGACTCCACCTAGAGGCTGAACTGTTGCAGGTACTGATTCAACACATTGAACTGCATCTCCACAGACCACAACCCATCTGTGTTATGTAGTCAGTGATATGACATTAAAATACATATAATGACATATAAAATAAATAGCAAAAACAACCTTTTTTGTCACGTTAGACTATGACATTTTCGATGTCTTTGTTTGCAGCACAGGCTTCAGACCATTTTTACTATTAGACTATGACATTTTCGATCTGATGTCTTTGTTAGCAGCACAGGCTTCAGACCATTTTTACTGCAGTTTTTGACAAATGACACAGTATGTAGTTGTTTGCTATTTTATTTTCATTTGTAGTACAGATCACACACATGGACAGTGTGTGGTGTGTTATTGAATTTTCAGTGTTTTTGATACATTTAATGTTCATCATAGACATCTTATTGCACATCTTGGGACAGAAATGTTGTGGAAGTTTAGAAAAAAATTAATGCAAGCCTTTTTCCCCTCTCTATTCCAGGTCCTGACTCCAGTGGATCTGCCTGTGACCATCCCAGCACCTAAACAGGAAGTGTCCAAACCATCCACCCTCACTCCTGTGTCTGTGGCCTCACCAAAAGCTCTTAATCTGACCAACAAGACGTCTCCAAACCCTGTGATTAGATCAGACTCTAAGGTTTCTTCAGGAGCCGACGTGGAGCCTCCTGTGGACGATGGAGACGAGGATTTGGAGCTGCTGCTGAAATTAGAGAAACCAGTGATGGGAGTGGAAGAGAACATTTCTGCTGTGGTCACAGAGGAGGAGGAGGAGGAGGAGAAGAAGGGAGAGAGAGGGAGAGGGTGAGTGGGTGTTTCCTTACTTTCATAAAATGTAAAGAAAAATGTAGGGAGAAGAGGTGGTGAAGGTGGAGGAGTACCGGAGGTGGTGTTTGACTTTGACGTTAGTTTACTGTGTATGAAGTAATATCTGATGGGGCAGCGGGTGAGCTTGGAGCTAAACTGGAAACGTTACCTTTCACTTTTAGTATCTGACGACATGAAGGAGGAGGTGAAGAAGGAGGAGAAGATCTCACCTCCACAATCTGCTGCCGTCAAGCAGGAGCTGACAGAGGAGGATCTGGAGGAGTGGCTGGACAGCATGATCTCCTGACAGTGTCCAAGATGGACAACAACAAGGAAGAACGTGTGGGGACTTTCCTGCTGGACTCCACGGACAAATGATAAATGCAGCTCCAGAAGCCTTAGCCGTGGAGAGCAACACATCAACTTTAACGCAGACAGACCAAAACTGACTGACCTGTAAACCTTGAAGGACAAAACTCAGCCCTTGCCTTCTGCGTCACCTGAACCTGTTAGAGACGTCACCTGGTGCAAACCTTGGGACCCACCCCAGAGGAGGCATACTATTTGAATGTATTTAAAAAACACAGATATAATATTATGTCTTTTTCATATTTTATTTGTAAGAGTGACTGATGAAATACACCTCTTGAAAATCCCAAGGTTTCACTGTAAGAGAATATATTGCTAATTGATAGCATGTATATTTAACTACTGTATCCAATAATAAATAGGTACGTGAGCTGTCAAAAAAAATATGGCTTTAAAGAGCTAATGCTAACCTTAGCAACGAGCCGTGACAGCCCTCACGGCTCGTCCTTTCCTGCACTCGGGTGTTGTGGAGCCCAAGTTAAAAAGCTAAAAATAACTCTGCATTTCAATTTTAGCGCTATAGTAACTCACTATGCTCTTCTATTAACACAGAGCTAACGTCTGCAGTTTTGAATTTTTTTGCTTTGCGCTTCCGTCTTCTATTAACGTCTGCCGTTTTGAATTTTTTTGCTTTGCGCTTCCATACGCGCCTGCGCAGTAACAAGTTTTTGTCAGTCGATAACTACAGTCGTAGATAACGTTCCAACACGAAACGTACCTATATAAAAATGATATCTACATATACTTTGACAAAATCTACATTGTCATAATTTAGTTTTTAACAGACAAGTTATTTTATTGTATGTGTTCGTCACGTGTGCAGGAAGTTACGTAATAACCCGGAAATGAATACTGAAGGCGGGTGGTTTCAAAATTGTTTGGTTGCTAGCGTTGAATGTTGATGCGTCAAATACTGTATATTGGTAAGAAACGATATTTTGTTTTGATGAGATCGTTATTTTTTTTCCCCCAGATACATTTAAATGTTAACGTACAAAGTAAAAGACCCGAGTAAAATCTGCTAAACTTTAGCCTTTGTATTTCTGCACAGAAAGCTGTTTTCGACGCATAAAAATAAAGGAAAAGATTGCGTTTTAAGTTATTCCCTTTATAATGTTTATTTCAAAATGAGAAGCTCCGACAGCAGTTTATAATGAATGTTCGGTGTTGCGCTAATGCTAATAATTCGAATGAAGACAGAATTATTCTTTTTATGACATTTTCTATTTAGGTGTCCAAGGAGAGACATGTCTTCAAAAATTCCCAAAGGTTCGTATTGAACATTTTTACACGGCATGTACAAGAAAATATGATATATATATAAATGTAAATGTATGTTTTATATATAAATGTATGTTTTTCAGGCATTCATTTGCCAACAGAGAGGAAGAAAACTAGCATCAGGACGGAGTCTAAAGACACAGGAATCGCGGCACATAAATCAGACCTAAAATCTCAAAAAGAAAACATACACAGGTAAAAATAAATTCAAATTAGAAATAAATCCTTATTATGCACTCAAGTGATATATAAGCATAGTTTTACAAAGTCTTTCAGGTGTGGTAGAATGTTTTTTTTTTACATTAGACTAACATAACACACTATAAACTGTAACTTTCAATTCTGGTGTTGAAATATAATTGCTGTCATTACATATTACTAATGCACATTTTACTTTCCCCCCCCCCCATATCTTCATTGCAGGAAAGGTCATTCTCCAAAAGTTTACAAAGGGTACAGACCAGACATCCGTCAGTCTTATCAATGTTTTTGTTTTTTTTAAATATTGCAGCAAGCTTGTGTTCCTACCCCTTATAGTGTCTCCACCCGGTTTGGACAACGGGCAGAGCTGGAGGAGCAAAATCAACAATTAATGACTGCCAATCAGCAGCTGCAGAGTAACCTCACAGAAGCACAGGTGGAACAGAACCAAGGAATCTTTGTGATTTGTCTGCTTTACCTGTCTGGTGTTCCTTTGCTGAATTTGTTGTTTGCCTGCAGCAAAGAGCGGCTGAACTAGAGCTGCAGTTCAATGAGCTTACAAAGGAAAACACACATGTGCAGAAAAACCTCAAAGATTGCCACATGTTGTTAGTGGCTGCAAAAATAGACCCAGGTAAATGTGATTGCACACACTGGATGCTAACATGTAAATAACAATAAATAAAACATAAAGATGTTTTGTTTTTTTTCTTAGTTTTAGGAGGAAAGGTTGGAGAAGCAGCGAGAAAAAGTGAAGGTGAACGAAAAGAAGCGTTGGTATGTGTGCACTACTTTATTGGTTTTATATTTAATATAAATTTAGTTTCCTGTTTGCTTTGAATCCCACTTATACATTTTAAATACATTTTTTGTAAAAAAAAAATAAGGATTATATAAACGTGCAGGTTTTTTTCTAAATTTGTTGGTTCTTGTACAATCACATGCCTAGAAACGTTCAGCTGTTAACAGGAAGTTGGTCTGTTTCAGAGTGTCTCCTCAGACCTGCTGAATGAACTGAAGGCATTTAGTGACACTGCATCTCAACAACGTGCTCAGCTGGAGGTGAAGAAAGCCGATGACCAGAATACAGATCAAAAGAAATGTGTGTGTCGTACTATAAGCGTTTCTTCTGTGCAGGAAATTCAAACAATGATGTCACACCTTAAAGACACCAGACAACGTGTGATGCAGGAAAGAGAGAGCTTCACCCAGGAGGCAGCAGAAATTGAAAAAGCTCTGGAAGAAGCTGATGCTCTCCTACTGTAAAAATAAAATAAATAAACCATGTCATAAACCTCTTGTATTTTCTGTTACATGTTATATTTGTAATTTTTAATGAATAAAGATTTCATATGCACTCTTTTCTTGGTTAAAATCAGTCAAAACATGCTAATTCACATGTAACCTAACCATTGGCATCAGTTATGTGAGTAACTTTGGTTTAATTCAAAAACCTGTTTAATTAAGTACTACACATATGACATATGTGTAGTACTTAATTAGTACTAAGTTCCCAAATACTCTACATTTAACATAACGTGTCATATGTGAAAAGGTTAAATGTAGAGTATTTGGGAATTTTGCTTTCTCGTTCCACCAGGGGGAGCTATAAATGGTTAAATACAGGAGTAAAATGTATGAAGCACAGACTGCTTCACGTTCCAGGTCATTCCGGTCACTTCTGTCCTCACTGTCTGCTCCTCAGGTGAGTTTCTTCAAAGGCAGGTTGTTGTAGGGGTTTTCAAAGACTTGCAGCCCGTAGCTCACTGCGGTGGTGTTGGAACTTGACTCAGGTTGCTCGGTGGGTCTGCGCTTTGAATTCTTGTAGTAGTAGATAAACAGGAAGAAACCTGCCAGGTTTAAAAGGGATGGATCATTATAAACGCAGGGTGACTCTAAAGAACACCCACTGACCCCAGAGTGCAAGGGTTGCAGTTACCTTGAAAAGAATTCAAGACGGTGAAAACGTAGTAGAAGACCATGCGAGCAGCACCGTAGGCAAAGAAGGCGAAACCCCAGGTGATTCCCATCATGCAGCACAGCCCCATAATGGTCACGATGTCCACACCACTTCTGTTGACTTGACTGTGTTCAGTTTTGGTCTTCCTGATGCAAACAACCCATGTGAGTATGATGATAAATGTGGTGAAGGTGAAGAGGAAGACCAGGCTGTAGTAACCAACGTTGACAATCAGGTGGACGTCGTTGTTCGTTAACCAGCACCTGGGAAGAGGAACATTGGTTCAGTCATTAGAAGGATACTAGTGATGCATCCAAGATATATCTGAGGAAGACTCACTGATAGCACGTGGCAAAACATGTAATGCTGAACTTTTAAAGGGGGGGGGGTAAATTAATCACATGAAATTCAAATATCACGATTGCTATGCTGAATAAGAGACGGGTAAATTAATCACCTGAAATCCAAACATCACGATTGCTATGCTGAATAAGAGACTTAAATGCACTTTGTGTTTTTATGAGAGAACATATTTACTTTGACTTAGTCTCTCAGCAGACCAGTAGGCCTGTACATTATCATTGCCTGTAGTTGGGGTCAGGTTTAACATTTTATTTTGAATTTTATTTTATAAAGTGCATTGATGGAATGTGCTAAATAAATATTTAACTCTGAAGTTTGGTTCATAGTCATAGCCATAAATGCAATGGTACTAATAATTGGCATAATAATTTCTTGTGGGGTTTTTGGTTTTGGCCAAGAAACAGCAAAATAAAAATGAGTCCATTGTTTTGACATCAGGCTGTCTTTCTAATTGATGTGTTTTTGTTGGTCCATCTACGTGGGCACGTTAGTGAGTTTTTCTAAAAAGCTAACGCTCATTCTGTTTGCTGATGAACCCTTGTTAATCTTGCACATTATTTCTGATGTAGTCTGGAGACTCACATGGTCACAGTCTGAGCACCGACATCTGCACTGATGACTTGTTCGCCGTACTTTCCAGTAGCCAGCAGGACAATTACAACCACGCTGGGAATTCCTGGAATCAAGGATGGAGAACGTGCTGAAGAACAAGTCGTTTTACAGTCCTGGGAATAAAAACACTGGTATGAAACCCACCCCAGCTGGGGATGGAGACCTTCAGCAGGTAGCGGCTGATCTGATCAATGCCCTGGGTGTACACGTGCAGGCAGAGGTGAAAGGCGTGCACAGCGAACCAGGTGAAGGTGGCCAACAGGAAGTAGTGCATGGCAGCCCCCATAATTTGACAAGCCACAGAGTTCTTCAGAGAGGCCACAAGGTCGTTGACCAAGAAGCACAAGTTCAGCCGGAACATGGACGACACCCGGTGCATCAGAAGCTTTGTGGAGGTATTGGCTTTTGTCCTCCTGTCAGAAGGAACAAGAGACAGAAATTGTTCTGTTATTTGTCTCACAGTTGTCTGCTGACTTCTGCTCAAGTCTGGCCTCGCATTCAGATATTGTATTTAGCTTGAACTTTGGAACTTTGTCAGGAAGAGCCCAACCAACCCAGACGAAGAGCGCCCACCTCCTCGGATTGTGAATCCCTCCGTAAAGAATTCAAACAAAGGACGAGCCCTCATTATGTTACAGGAAGCCGTGCCAACACACGTGGTCGTTCCTAGCTCTGAATCTTTTGTTTCATGAGTCTGAACTTGTGTTGAATTTTATGTTTCAAATATCACTTTTTTTTTAAAAAAACAACACGACTCTCTGGCTTCACTACTGGAGTATAGGTTATTGAAAATAAAGTGCTCTATCGTTCCTGCTACCTCAACAGGAAGTGCATGAAGAGGATGACGGCGAGGAAGATCATGGACAGGCTGCAGCCAACCCTGGTGATGATGGTGAGGTTTTTCAGATCAGAATCTGAGATGGTTTCGTTGACAGGAGTCTGGAAAAAAACAACCAAAAAAAAGTTTCAGTCAATTTTCTTTCTGTACACGTGGCAAACTAATGAATCAACAAAGCGACTCTGGCTTCAGGAACTGTATTGAAGGCAGAACTGACCAATAAGATGGCAAAATATGTCAGGTGTGAAATCAAGCACGTGATGTTGTCCCCGTCTATCTTTGTCTCACACCCATCGTCTGTCCACACTGGTCTAGAACCTATGAGATCAGACCGAGCAGGACAACAGGGAAAAAAACAAAACAGGAGGATCAGCATTTGAAAAAACAAAACAAAACAGAGTTGAAATAATATTTGCATTCCCTCAGACATACCTGTGCCGTTCCAGGAAGAACATACTGGATTCCCTTCCTGGAAAACCCAACAACAGTGTTACTCTAAAAACCAAACAAAAAACATATAGTATTGTACAGCAGTTTTATATTTTCAAACTCACAAATTTCACGTTCTTGTAATGGATGGAGATTTTGTCAGTGAGGTTGGTGATGGCCACTCCCATTGTGATTGCTATGACCTCATTCACTAAAAGAGTGCTGTTCTTCTCATCCTGGGAATAACACAAGTGTCAGGAATTCACATCATGCATCAATGTGTCGACTTTCCTCACGTACCTTAGACATGTTCTGGAACTTAATAATGACTGCAAACGCATCAAATGTAACAGTATTGTTCGAGTTTCTGCTCTTCTGAAAAGCTTCTTTGGACAAGGTGATAACCTTGTAAAATTCCGACAAATGTGTTTGGTCTGATATGATCTGCAGGAAAAAAGGGACAAAATAAGGATTTGAATGACAATAAGTCTTTAACAGCTGTTTAACATTTTGCTGCGATAGTTTTGGTTGTAAACTTTTATTTTTATCAAATTAACTTTTTAATTTGTTACTGCTTTCGGTTCAAGTTGTGGACTTTTACAGCTGGTTTGGATTTTTCTGTGATGCCATGTTAACGTGTAGCTTTGTTTGTTTGTGCAAACCTTTAGCTAAATCTGAGGTAACGTTAACATCTCACTTTTTAGCCTTTTTGCTGATATATGATGTGTTTGTCCAAACACTTCCGTTCCAGTTCTGATATCAACTGAGCCCGATGTATGCCGCCCTTTGGGTCGGGAACTAGTTTTAGGTCACATCTCCTGGGCCGCAGCCAGGTATTGCGTTATCAGGACGTCATAGTCGAAAGAAAAAAGGATAACGATTCTTACTGATATTACAAAACTATGCTAACATTGGCCGACGATATCGGCTGGCTGATCTCCTCAGACAGCCATGAATTTCTTTTTCTTTTTCTTTTTTTTCCAGTTCTGATGTTGGTTTTGTCTCATTATTATTTTTTCCTAGCTTCAAGCTATGTGTGTCTAACTTTTTACTGTATTTTAAGCTAAATCTTTTTCACCAGAAATTTTTATTTTATTTCTGGTTTATTTTCTCTTGTGTATTTTTCCGAGTCATACAATGTTTTTTGGTGCTGACTTGATATGCCAAAGAAAAGCTATAATGATTACTAGAAATATATAATCATTGAACTGAATTACATTTGATAAGCTCAGTTTTTTATAACTTTAATTAAATTTACAGTAAATATGATGGACTAACCTTAGAAGGCTTATCGGGACTTTGGAAACCAACAGTGATTTCCTCCTCATTGACAGGCTCTGGTTTTAAGACTATTCCAGTAACACCTTTTCCACCGTTGATTTGTGCCGAAGACTCACTCATAGTCTGGGCCTGTTTAATCACGTTCTTCACAACATTGCTACAGAAAAAGCAAGCGAAGACACATCCAGACTAATATCGTAGAAATAGCATCATGTTAATGTTAAATGTATTTGAATCTTGAACATTACTTAGCTTCTTTCACGTCCAATTCCTCTCCAAGGTAAGACACAGTTACATCATGTTCAGTTTCAGGACTCTTCACAGGTTTTTCACACTTGTTGCACGTAAGTTCTTCACTTCCTACTTTGATGTAGTAGAACTTTTCGTCCAAATGTTCACCTAGAAGAGAAAGAAATGACAATCCGACTGACACGATTGTCAAATGTGATTGGTCAGGACTGGTTAATATTGATGAGGACAACGACTGGACTCATCCTTCCAGACGTACAATAACGACTAAAATCCACCAACTCTGTGAAGCAAAATGTCACTTTTACTCTGTACCTATATATCTATGTATTAATAATTCCATCACTTGGAAAAAAAAAAGAGGACTATTGATTTATCATAACTAATCATGATTTATAGCAGTTAATTGCCATTGTGATTAATCACAATTTAACACGATTAATCAGATCCATTACTCTGGTTGTTTGACAACTCCAAATACATATTTCATCATATGAAAACAAGCTTCATAAAATTCACCATAACAAGAAATGTAGCATGTTATGCAGACAGGGTAACAAACACTACTGGTCAGGGACCACTGGTCAACAGTTCTGCCAACAGTGCTAAATCAAATCTAAACAAAAAGGACTGACCTGATATACTGCAGACGTTTTCATTATAGGTAGCTTTTTCACATTTCTGCTTCATGTTCCAACATTGATCTGTAAATGGAAGCACGGTCAACAACTGGATTTCAAGAGTGAGGTGATTATTCCTGGCTGATCTGAGCTGAGGATGTGTCACCTCTGTGTGACAGTTGTGTGAGTGGCCTTGGCAGCTGTATTCTAAACTAATATGACTTGTGTTTTACATAATTGTTGTAATTCAGTTACAGTGGAAATACATTACAAGAATTATAAAGACTTTTTTTAACAATAATAATAAAATTACCTGGATTGCCGGACGATGTCCTACTAAAATACACCTTTTCCTTAATGTAGTGTTTATGGAGGTAAAAAGTAAAATTATCCAAGGACCCTGTGGAAGAAAAAACAAGTCCTGGCGAATACTCATAACATGAAGTAAATGAATAAAATGCTTTTAAAATCCACTCACACTTAATACAGTCAGGGTCCCCACAATTCTTTATGTCTATGCAGTCTCCTAAAGAGCTGTCTTGTGGACAGTCAACTGTTGAAGGCAGTTCTTGTGACTCTGATGCCGATGAAGAACCTTTTGCTCAAGAAAGTATTCCAGTATTATTAGAAGTTCAGAAAATACTACACAATACACATTACTTTAGTAGAAGCTTTCAACTGTTTATATAGGTATCATATAATTGACCAGTGCAGGAACTTAATATAAATATAAATATTCCTGGATTTGTAAATTATGAGCACAAAAAAACCCATAAAAACAGACACACTAGATCAGACCCAAGTCTGCTTCCTTAACCACTGCACCTTAATATTATAATCACACGAGGAATTAAATTTGGTGGTGTTTGTTTCTTTTTCTGTCTCTTTATCTGTAGCCTTTCAATTCCTTTTTAATGTAAACCTTTTTCTCACGACCCAACAACAAAAAAAAAACCCAAAATGCATGTGCTATGACATAATGTATACACCACTAACACTACAAATCAGGGGCCAACTGTAGTACACATTTGATATGATCTCGGGGGCCAAATATAATTACACCGTGTGCCAGATTTGGCACCCGGGCCTGAGTTTGATGATTCCTTACTCTTAGATTCTTGTCCTCCTTGCTGTGGTCCTTTGAAAAATAAAACAGTTTGATCATATTTACTTTATATTTGTCTGTGACAACTTAGCAGTTGATGGTATTATTGTAGCAGGAAACTCACCTGTCGAACGACCACTGGGATAGATTCCAACTTTGCCATTGTAAAAAAGTACTTTGCATTTTTCTTTTAAACATTTCTTGATATTCTTATCCACCTCACATTCTTTTTTTGTACCTGCAATCAGACAGAAGAAAAACAAGTTCTATTCATGCAGTGACAGTGTGTTTAGGTCAGAAGAATCCAAAGTTTGTTTTGAGACGCTAAGTTAATACAATTCATGTTTACTCACAAACGGGTGAGATCCAAAATCCCAACAAAACCACCACCATCCAGCATTGTGGTGTCATTTTCCTTCAACGTCGTCAGGTCTCAATAATGCAGCAAAACAACTGTACAATGTAAAGTCTGGAGAGACTTTAGTCAAACCAGAACGTGGATGACACACCTCTGACCTTTCATTGGTTCTGTACAAGCAATGGAACAAAAGTTCTTTTTTGCCAAACAGTCTTGTTGTGTGATGTTACAGCCGGCTGACGCCAAACATTTGATTTGCAAATTCATTCTTCCTGGAAAAGCTGGAACAAATAACTGCAGATGCAAAATTACCCAAATAAAATGGCACTGTGACCTAACAGTACATATGAGAAATGATGATGAACATGAAGCTGAATATTTATCAGAAAAAAAAACTTTATTCATTTTCTCATGGAATTCATTTAAGATGTGAGGTCTTTTTTCTTTTTCTTTTTTCCTCCTCTGAATTCTAGGTTAGAAGTCAGAAGTTTTACCTTTTATTCCAAAAAATTGTGAAAGTTTTTGCAAAACGTTGACGCATATTTTGTTTTCTATTTAACTTTTAATTTTATTGATTTTTTTAGTGATACTTAATTGTTTTAGATAAGAATAACTGAAGTACTGATCTCAATACTTGGACTGAAATTAGTTTTTATGCCAAGAGCCGTGTGTGTGAAGACAATTGAAACGTCTACGTAGCAGTAAATAATCCGTAACAGTAACAGTGGTGAGTTAGTAGCAACACCAAATTTTGAAGTAGTAAAAGTAGAAAAGACTTGTTGTAACATACAGAGTAGGCTATACAAACATACACTTCATCATGGTTTGTGCCGTCAAAATAAACGTTTGTATCACTTGGTTTGTAACGTTATCCCTGTTTTATTTTTCACTGTTTTGTTTTTCTGGGTGACGTCACCATGCCCCACCCCTCCACGTTCAAATCTCTCCAAACTAGGCTCTATCGTTTGTGCTGGTTTGTGCAGTTCAAATATACATTTGTGCTTATATGGTTTTTACAGCGGATTTTTTTTTACATACGCGTGACGTCACCAGTCCCCTTGACGTCAAGTGTGAATCGTATTTAGATACTGACAGAATTAGACGTGCTCGTAGAGTTTCACCCCAGTCCCCTAGGTGGCACTCGCGCATTTTAACAAGTTGAATGAAACCGGAGCCAAACAAAAATGGCGGAAGGAGACCCTACACAGTGATTAAGAACGATGACCTACAGTGAGTAAAAGACAAAACTGTTGTTTTAAGGGTACCATTGAACAAACACGCCAAACGTAATGATTGTCACTCGCGATGAGATTTGTTAAATAAGCTCCGGTCGTTCGTAGGGAATTAAGCATACTTTCCATAATGCTGTCAACGCAAGACCCCCAACGAGAAGTTTACTAATTTGTGATTATGTACGTATTTAAACATTAGACAGCACATCTTACATTCAACGGGGGGTTGATTTTAGTCGGGCACATCGTTACTACTAAACAAGTATTTAAATGTAGATCGGTACACCGACACTGCATTGCTCTGTTCCCTTTGTATTGCAAGGTTATCGATCAATTTAACCACCTTTAAATCGCTGCTTCTTGAATGGAGGCTGCGGTGACGGACTGTTTTTAAGCAAAGAACTAAACTAACGTAATTATTTAATGTGGTTAATCTTCCAGTATTCAAACAGTTTAAAACTTTTATTTTTTATTTAGAAATTATTTAAGAAGATTTTTGCTGTAATTTGCTGTAAAAGCATGCTCAAATATCATTACTAATGTTATGAAACCCCTTTTTTAGGAATAATTATATATACTCTTGTCATGTTGTGTTAACATCATTATCTCTTCTGTTGTCTTTGTGAAGAATATGTCTGCAGTTGGTTTAAAGTTGGTGATCAACCATGGAGCCCGAGCTGTGTTGGGTGTTGGCCCTTGCATACAGACACTGTCAACATCATGGATGTTTAAATGCAGTTCTTCCTGGAGCTGGTCTTCTTACTCCACAGCAGCTGACACAGAACAGACTCCTTCAACACAGAAGAAAAAACAGAAACCCAAAGCTCCTGCCAAAATCAGCAGCGTTGGCCGCAAGATTCCATATCAGCACATTGAGTTGATAGATGAGATGGGTGAAAATATGGGCACTATGCACCGGGTAAATGTGATCAGAATCATGAATGATCGCGGACTTAAGCTAGTGTTGCACAATGAAAACAAAGATCCGCCCATTTACAAGCTGATGACTGGCAAGCAGCTGTACGAGGAGCAAGTGAAACAGCGAGAAAAAGACAAAGAAAAAACAAAGCAAGGTAAGCTTGTGCTGTGATGTCCATCACTGGTTTCTGCTCAATTTCTGACCGTTTAGGATTGTTCTATTTTCTTCCTAGCTACTGTGCAGGTGAAAGGGCTCTCCTTTTCCCCTGGCATTGCATCTCATGACCTCAGCATTAAGCTGAAACAAGTAGAAGGTTGGCTGGAGAAGAAGCACCATGTGCGGATAACTTTGCGGCCAGGATACCGTGAATCCAAAGACAACCTGGTGAGCCAGACACTTACTTTAAGAAATACTGACCTTTTTTGAATATGTTAAATGACCCATAAAATTCTTTATTAAAAATACAAGTCATACATTTTTGTCCTTTACCCAGGACACAAAATTGGAGCAGATGGTGCAACAGATAGGCACCATGTTTGGATTCGTTGCGAAACCAACCGTGCAAGGTGAAGGCAAATCAGCCATGTGTGTCCTACGTCCTCCTTCGGCAAAGGAGATGGCACTAAAAAGAAAGGATCCCTCGTCGTCACCGCAGTCTGCCAGTGAAAAGACCACTGAGAAAAGTGACAAAGCAGTCAGCAGTGGGGACGCCACGGATGAGTCTCCACAGCAGTGAGTTGAAATAAAACTGTCAAGTTCATCTTCTAAAGGTCGAACTGTGTTTTTGAACAGCATGTATTAAAAAAGGAGAGCAGAGGGTGAGAGTGCAGGGGTGCAAAAAGGTGCAGGACAGGAGGTGCTCACTGGAGAGCTGGGTATTCATGAAGATCTTGAAGATAGGCAGGGACGCCCCTGTTCTGGTAGTCATTCCACCAGCCTGGAACGATCCAGGGGAGAGCATGGATTGTCTCGTGAGAGGATCATGAGGACTTTACCTTGTCACTTGGAGCCAACTCTGTAGGAGTTAAAACCAGTGAGGGTTAAGGGCCGTTGTCATTTGATTGTGAATGTTTCTTTAACAAAGGAAGGAAACCTCAGCCCACAAGTCAAGCGAGTTAGTTCACAAATTGTGTGTATTGCATCTCACCTGCTCACGGATGCGTCCAGCTGTCGCAGTATCATCAATGTTCACATTATCAGCATACTTTAGTATACTTCACGTGAATTATGTCCGATCAACTGCAACAACTGTGTCCAGTACCAACACATTATACATTTAAAACAAAAAACCTGAAGTTCAAGCCACTCTGGTTTGTAATTGTCCTCTGATTTATTCAAGATTTTCTTTTATCCTGATAAAAAATAAAAACAACTTTTGGCTTCTGGATACATTCACTGGTCACAGATCAATGTGTTCACCTGACTTGAAGGGTCACTTTACACACTTCAACACTTGCTCTAACAGCAGAGACGAACTGTCCTGGAACTTTTATTCAGTAACTTTGTTTCTCCTTTAAAACTAGAGTTATATTTTCCCCATACGTAGGAAACAAAGGGCAAAAATAGAATTTAAAAACAAAACCGTCTTATGGCTCAAAAAATGAAAAGAAAACATTTCCTAACCTGTTGGAAGAAAAATAACCTATGAGAACTGAAGCAGCTGAACTAGCATGCATTAACAACATTTGTCAATAAGCCTCGAGAACTTTGAAGGAGGAGAAGGGCTTAACAAAGTGATAGTCAAGGTTGCCACAGTGAGGACACTGCTGGACGTTGCTGTACTCCGAAAAATACTGCATCCCGACTCGGACATCCACCACAGGCTTCCCACAGTGCTTACAGTTAAGACGAGCCTGAGGAGGAACAAGAAGGAAACAGGAAGTTAGCTCGGTACTTAAGGGATGTTGTGTCTTTTAAGAGTAAAAATCGAGGGCTGAACTATTTTTGTGAGCCTGAACTGTTACAGAGCAAACCTATGGGAGCAGAAAGTTTTTACTGTCTTAACCTGCTCACAACGTCATCACAACTGTTATCAAACATGTGTCAGCTACTTGGAGCCAACCCCCCCACTCCCTCCAATGTAAACAGCCTTATGTATTAATGTATATAAAAAAACAGCCTGAAAAACAGGTGTATGGGGACATATTGTGGCATGTGAAAATACTCAAAATATCATTACAAGTACCATGTAGGAGGAACCACCTACAAAAACGATACCTGGTGGTATTGAAGAAACAGGATGTTCTGAACATTTGAACATCAATCTTAAGACGCAGCTCAGTGCAGTACTCGTACCTGGCAACACGGCGAAGCAGCCAGTATGTCGTACGTGTACATGGTGCCCAGCTGGTGCCAGCTCCCATCCCAACGTGACTTGCACTTGATGCAGACGATCTTGTGGACGCCTTCTAAACAGTCTACGCAGATGGCGTACAAGTGCATCAATCTGCCTGTAGGGAATAGGAAAACACAGGAAATCATTTCAGTGACTGGACAAAGACTGAGTTTTTATTCAAAGAAAAATGTCCCTTCTTTGTTCACCATAACATCTCCTGGATTCCCCAGATTGACACGTCAGTGTAAACAAGGGATTTTTTTTTCTTCCCATTTTATTGTGAATCCTTCGGTACTAACCTTGGAGGTGACAGGGGACGTCATACTCAATCTCGTCGTGGCGCGAGGGGCTTAAAAACAGAGTCCCATCCACCAGGGGAAACTGCTCGAACACCGGGAGTGCACGGTGGCACAGCGCACAGTTGACCACGTTTCTCTGGCTGGTACTGAGGGCAGACAAAATAAACCTGCAGGACAACAAAACAATGGAAATAACAACAAAATATTGCCCTTTTGTCCTATATTCGTGATTAGGTACTGACTGATTGGTGTTGTGTGATGTCACTGGTTTTAATAGTGGGAATGCACCCAAATTTACCTTTTCAGTTTAGCGCTGAAATTACATTAATGTTGCACTTTTTAAGGTAGAAAGAAAACATTTATGGCAAATTTCATGTAAACGACAATGTCTGCACTGTTCTGAATTTAGAACAATGCACAGTGTCTTAGCATCATAATTTAAAGTGGAAGTCACAGTGAGGAAGACAGAAAAGGTCAGACAGTTTTAGTTTCTTTTCATCTGTAGTGCATGTTGTAATTGTCAGCTACACACCATGTAATTTAAATAGCTTTTAGTTTACAACCCAGATTAGTGTTTTGTAGAATGCAGCCAAAGAGTAGGGCACAGGGAACTAGGTTATGGTCATATGCTGATGACAAAAAAGTTAAAGGTAAAGGCTAAAAACCCATAGTTTCACCTAATGACAAAAACATGGCTAAAATTTGAAAATGGAAAACTTACCACAGTAAAAACCATTGCCTAAAGTTAGTCAATTGTAGCAAAGATTTACCTGCGCAGCTCTTCTCCCTGTCCGGCCTGGGCGTCGTCCTCCATGCGGACGTGGTAGGTGTTGAGCTTGTGGCGAGGAATGTGGGTGAGGAGTTCCGAGAGGTCCAGCCTCCTCAGGAACTGAACTGGGTGAGGGTGGGTGCCATCCCCCATACTACCAGAGGTGAGGCGGGGGTGGAGTGGCAGGGCAAAAGACAGCGGCAGAGGAAGGACCCCAGGCTCCAAGTGAGGACCTCGATCACCTCCTCCACTGCTGCCAGGTACCCCTGAGCAACTGCCTCCTCCCCTACTGAGGGCTCCCCCTAACAGAAGGTGTTTCCTCTGCGGATCCATGTGGACGGCTGATTTTAAAAACTCTCCCAGCTGACGGGAGCTCCTTATTCCTGTCCCTGGTCCAGAAGCTGCAGTCGGGGAAAGGGAGAAACCGGGAGGAGGAGATTGTCCAGGAGAGTCGGATGGAGATTTCTGAGGGAATCCTCCTCCTGCGGCTCCTCTCTCTGTAGAGTTCTGCCGGTCCACTGATTGTCTACGCGGTAACTCCTGACTGGACGCCCTGTGGGACGGTTTACCTCCTCCTGCTGCTCCTCCAGGTGGCTTCATTTTCTTAGGCTCTTCAAAGGGCCCATCCCCGGACCCCATAGCTCCTCCACTGGACCCGGTCCTACCTGAGCTCCTCTCCGATGGCTTCTTCTTGCGATCATCCTGCATGCGCTTAACCTGATACCAGTCAGTGTCTTTCTTCAGATGACCCTGACCGCAGCGGCAGGAGCAGAACCTAAAGGCCAGGTCGTAGCCCTTTTTGGTCCACATGTTCTGCCGGCACTGCTTCTCGTTCCAGGACCGCGCTCGGCCGATGCAGTTGAACTGGACGAGGATAGAGCTCTCCCACTCGTAGAAGCACTGCATGTGCATCCAGTTGCCGTAAGGACAGAGCTCGTTGTTACACTGCACACGCTGGTAGTCGTCCTTCTCCAGGTCGATGGCTCGGCCCAGGCTGCAACCCAGCGGAGTCGCACACTGGACCTCTGCGGAAACAAATGAAAAGGAATCGGTTTTTAGTCCAATTATTAAAATTCAGAGTGGGTTATGTCAAAGATTTAATTTAGAATCACTTTCAGTGGTCAGCACAGAGGTTGATCCACAGAAATCACTGAATGATGTCTCTCTTTTTCTGTAGTTAGAAATAGGCGTGCAGCTGAATTTCAACCAACCAACTTGTCAACATGATTTCTACTAATGGATGAGAACATGATAATGGATCATTGTGGGGGTTCGTCTCTGAAGATCATCCTGCTCACAAAGCAAGAACACAGTGTGAAGATGAACGAGAGATGAGAGCGTTTTCGATGTCCTTTCTGCCTCGTCGGGATCAATTTAGGAAACACAAAGAGACGGTCCAAGTCTGTGATCAGTTCTATTCAAGTTGATTCTCAAGTCTGGACAGGAATCAATGTGGATACACATGCTCAGTCTATACGAGCAGTGACAGTTCAGTCTGACACACTGACCAGAGGGTGTGTGTTTGTTTGTATGGTTTAATCAGATCACACACACAATAGACATACAAAAAACATGTTACTCAAGTGGCAGCCAATAAGATGATGCTCATTATTAGATGCTGAAACTTTTGTTTGTGATCTCCACTGTGGAAAATGACCTGTAATAAAATGGGGGAAGAAATCAAAATTATTTATTTTATGTATGCAAGGACCCACAATATATATATATACACATACATATATATACACACACACAGTGTGTTGAAATAAATTAATTCATTAATTCAAATTTAATTTCTTGTTGTGCCACAGGTATTCTTTAGGGTAATGCCGGTCTACAATACTTTGGTAATAATAGTGAGTCAGTAATGCTTCCCTTGACCTATTGACCTATTGATAAGACATTGATTACATGTGGACTTAAGTGGATTTTCAAAATAAAAAACTGTTAAATCAATGGGTAAAAATGTATTCAAGTAAATGAAACCAGTACGGCCGTATTTCAATGTTGTACGCATCAGTGTAACTGTGTCAGATGAAGTTGAAGTTCAGTGCAGTAACACATCTGTGCATCACTCTCCAGTAAGAAGGCCACGGCCAAACACTTGGACATGGTGGGCGTGAGGAAAAGAAACAGGCAGAGTCTGCGCATTGAATCTGACAGACAGTACTTTATCAACGTAGATGTAATGGAAACCAAGTGCCCTGCGTGTGTGTCATTTCAGATCACAGATATCATTAAACCACATTTCACAACTAGCATTGTTAATTTTTATTGTTGGCGATCATTTATTTCACATGAGAACTTCCACGTCCCAAATTATATTCACTGTTCTGGCACTTTAATAATCAACTGCATAAAATGCAGTAACAAAGCCAATTCCTGGTGATTTAATTGTTTCCCCCGCAAATAATTGCTTAGCGTACAATTCGGCATGGTCAAAACATAACAAACTACAGCTTCTATAATGTGTGGCACTGTTTTGGCACTGTACAGCATTAACGCAAACAGTGATTTTAGTGTAGTTGAAGGTCACTGACGATCTACTTTACACAGACGATGAGAGCACAACAGTCCCAATATACAGGGCCTTAATCGTATAGCGCATTTAAGCAAAGGAATCTAGGAATCCTTAAAATACCGACGTCTGATATGGAAATTTGGTGTAGTGTTCGCGCTCAGGTAGGACTGAAGCGCACGAGGGGGGGGTGATTGGGGGGGATCAGCGTCGCAGTGCACGTATGTCATGTAGTCGCACAAACACAGTTGAGCTTCCTGTGGCAGGAAAAAGACAACCACGCCATCAAACTTCATCATTGTTCGCTTCCTTTCTTACCACCTGAGCGCTCGTTTCTGGGTCCAGCAGCTGCGGCCGCTGCTGTCGCCGCCGCCGCCACCACTGCTGCGGCCGCGCCTCCTGTTGCGGCAGCACAGGCTCCATTTTCCTGCTCATCTCCGCTGCTGTTGGTGCGTTTGCTTTTCTTCCCCTTGTTGTTCTTCTGGTTGGGCATTTTAAAACAGATTCTGAGTGTCAGTGTTTATTTTCGACCTCTAACAGCAGCGTCTGCCTCTGCTGCTGTCAGCACTGACAGATAATTCTCTGGACTCCATTTGTGAGCTATCTGCTGTGGCTCTTTTGAGTAGCGTTGTTGTTCTTCTTTCGTTTTTCTCAGTTTTTTTGTTGTTGTTTTTTCTTCTTCTCGTGGACGGCGGGCTGTTTTCGCTGCGCGGCTCTGACAGCAGCACTTAGCTTCCAGCGAATAGAAAGTGCTTTAACCTTAAAGAGCGAAGGCGTGTCCGGGGCTTGTTTTGATTCCTGCTCTGCTGTTTTCTTCCACCCCCTGACGTCACATGCCCCCGCCCCCAGCCACGGGCTGTCAGAAATGTACGTTGCATTCATGGTCTGAGGAAAAGGTCAGACTTTATTGGTTAATCAATTGTTGTAGTTAAACTGAAATAAATTAATGTAAATGGTAAATAAATAAACTCAAATATGTATTTATTTAGTCGTCCTAGTTGGATAATTTTAATATGTTTCCAAACAACAGCGTAAGAATTATTAAACGTTAAAACATTAATTACTTAAAATATACCATTACATAACGACCTACTTATTAAGTTAGTAAGCTAGCTCAGTTGTTGTTTGCTAGCTATTAAGACGGTTAACACGTTAGCTTGATATGAGATTGTAAGTCAGTTTTGTCATTGCTAGTGGTTTACTAAATAGTGAGTTGTTTGAATAGTTGATAATTTGTCACCACATAGTTAGGTACACAATTTATATTTTGAATTCAGGCACATAATCCACAGAATAAAAAATAATGGTAAGGGTATTTATGAATTAAAATTGTGTTTGTTTGAATGAATGAATTTTCTCTGCTCACACGTGTACGTGTGCAAAGAAAAATGCTGTCTCACATTAGTTAAACGCAAGTATATTAGGGCACCCATACAAAACTACAGCAGAAATACACAAATAACACCACACTAATTGTGATTTACACTTGAGGCATTTCAAGACCCCTGGCTAATATGTGGTTTTTGAAAATGTACTTGTGTTCTGCAAAAAAAAAAAAAAAAGTAAAAATAAAATCACAGGACACTTTTTTATTCTCACATTCTGTTCCTCAGAGTAACCACTAGAGTGTGCTATTGCTGGTGCAAAGACAACAATGACACACAATCATGTAGAATTCGACACTATTCAAAACATATTTTAATACATGTTCAGTGAAACTCAATCCCCCAAAGACAAACACAGCAAATTTATGTCTTAATCCAAAACTTGTTTTTTTTTTTAATATTTTCATATCTATCTCCATTGGTAGAACTTCCTCTACTAGGCCCATGACAACACACCAGTTATATTATATAATTGATAATGAATTCATATACTTGCAAAAACAGTTACAGCTGTTATAATGTAAAATAATGACATTTAACAGCAGATAATGTAAAAGAGCCCACACACCCTGTGTATCACCTGAAAAAGGAATTGCGTAATAAAAAGCAAACAAACGCATGTGTGAATGTTACATGAGTCTATTCACGACGCTGTGCTTCCAGTTGGACACAGGCTGTGACCCACAGCAGTAATTTCAAATATCTCAGTTGTGTTAATTTGGTCCTGAAAAATTGCACAATTTCATCCACTGCATTTGGCATCAATAACCCTGCACAATGAGGCTGCAATAAAAAAAACACTGCCCCTGAAATGCACCTACAGTACTATTCTTTTGCATTTTTTTCAAGTATTTCTTGCCCCAAGGCAACTGCTGGAGTTGTTGTAGCAGGGTGATGACAAGTTCCTCGTAATCAACCTCAGTATACAAAGTTGGTACAAAAAGGTGCAGAAATCTTACACTTGCTCTACAAAAGGTGCAAATGCACTTGTGTATAGTTTTGTCATGGAAATGGTCTCACATTTCCAACAGCACTGGTCTCTAAAGATGTTTGTTGAAAAAGTTCACAAGAGGTAGTACACATGCTTATACACATGGCTTGTGTAAACATTAAATGAAACACACTCAGTAATAGTATTTTTGGAGGCCCCACAGGTTTTCAGCAACAGTGAGTGTTGCATTCATGGTCTGTTCTGCAGTAGAAATTTGCTTTGACTCACAAATTGTGATTCCCTCAGTGTCTTATTCTAGAGTTCAAAATTACTACAGTGATGACAGGTGTTGTTATGATAGTTATCATATTTTGTCTTGAATACAACAAAAAAACAAAGTCAGTATGTTGTAAAAAAAAACTCAAGAATTCAATTTGTGCAAACTGTCTCTCCTGAAAGAGTACATTTCCAAGGCACATTTCCATAGAGGCAACTAGTACCAGGAACTACTGTATGTACAGCTCTGCCGGAGGCTGTTCTGAGAGCCTGATAAAAACCTGGATAAATGGGGAAATCAATGGAACTTCTGGTCTCAAACACAGGATGTGTATTTGCATAATCTTTAAGAGACTTTCACTGCAGTGGAAATGTGAGCTCCAACTGTAAGAAAAACTGTTAAGACATTTGATAATGGTTCTTGGCACTGACATTTTCTGGGAGTATGTGGTGGAAACTTGGCTAAAGTGACATTATACACTCATGGTTGATTTAATAAGGACAACACTAGTAGAAATTTTAGCTGATAATGCTTGATATAGCTGATTCAGCTGAATATTTAAATGAGACTTTTGGGCAGTCTATATTACAGTCTAATACATTTTTGCAGTGACAATCTGTGTCAACTGTTTGGTCATTTAATCCGAATTCTGAGCCTCACACACGAAGCACATACAGAAGCTCAGAAGCCCTGAAGTAAGCTGTTAAAATTCTATGGAAACCTGGAATTTTCGAGGATTCAAAGTTGCTCCAAAGGCCTCTGGGTCTTCACATCTGTCTTACTTTTGAAGCAAGACTATATCTACGTCGTCGTGGACGTTCTGTAAAAGCAACTCGCCTTTGTAATCGACAATCTTCTTTTTCTTGGCAGCTCTCAATGTTCCCACCAGCGCCTCGAAGATGTTGGCACAGCGATCGTCATTAAACAAGACTCCAAACTTCACACTGATGTTTCCATCAGCATCTGTAAGAGTTGATCAGTGAAGGTGGTTCTCTATTAATTAACTAATTTCTTAAAGTAAGAAAGTAAGTATTGTGGAATATTTTTCAAGGATAAATTTGGGTGAAAACAGACTTACTTTCAGTGCCGAGTCTCTGAATCTCCTCCACCAACATGTTGACCTCGTGAGCGACATTCATTGTTCCTAGAATAAAGAAACTTTTTTTTATTATTAAAATGCCTTCAACTAAATGGATTAGAACGATTGGAAAGCAAAAATCTCAAATTGATGTTGTTTAAGCCAGACAATATTGTAAAACAGTGTAATATAATGTTTTTCAATTAATTAAAATAAAGGGAATATAAATAATTTTATATTCCTTATAAGATTTTTTCAATACCTCTAGATCTTAGGATCTTGCCATATGTGGGAAAAATATACAGTTTAACATATTGCAATAAATTAATTATTTTATGAGACTTGTGACTCAAACGCATCAAGCCTCAACACGAACAGGGCGGACTACAAATGCGGAAATAGAGCAGCTCTGATTGCCAGCCACCACATAAAACATACATATTTATTGATAGACAAATTATTTGGTGTGGCGTCGCTTTTCAAATGTGTATGGACACCAAAACGTCTGTAAAGTTTCACAAATAATATCCGGTGAAATTTAAAAAACATAAGAAAATCCAAGCTCGCCGGTAATGTTAGCTTCTAGCCAAAAGACCTGCTGCTGCTCATATACTATAAGCCGCGTAGTTACTACGGTCAATTAAATGATAAAATATGTACAAGGAAGTTCCAGATATAAAAAACATTCTAAAATACAAATTTGTACTCATGCATTTACCTCAGTTTCTTGTTGGAATTGAAGTGAAGCAGGACTTTATGGTGAATCGGCTTTAAGCTGGACAGTGTTGTTGCATTCAGGGAACGCTCGAAAATCCAGTAATACCTATTGTAAAAACGTTCCATTTACTTTTTGTTCGTTAAACGTTAGGCTTTTCCAAAGTGACTTGGCTTTTTAAATCAATGACACATGTTTAAAATGTATCAATTTTATTTTTTTCTGTTTTTTACCTCTTCAACTTTAAGGATTTTGCGACCTTTATCTAATTTTCTAATATAATGACACACGTTTAAAATTTATCAATTTTATTTTTTCTGTTTTCTACATCTTTAACCTTTGCGATTTTTTTGTGAATTTGCGACCTTTATCTAATTTTCTAATAGCTCCTGAAGGCGCCATTTAAGGCTCGCCTGACTTCATTGTGACACCTTGTTGTTGCTGCTGCTCCATATATGGCAAAGACGAGATAAGTGCTCTCATGCGCTTTTTCAGTCAGAGGTAAAAATTATGTTTCACACTTTGCAATGAATCAACTCAGGAATCCCTCGTTCAATGGCTGTTCTATAGAGATATATGCGCACTGTGACCCCAGACTTGTAGCATCAGTGTCAGTGTGCGTCATGTACAGTACATACAGTTGGGGATAAAATAAGAAAATGCAATTCAGATGTAACCGTATTTTATACTATACATTGAATTATGGAGAAAGATTTTTGAATTAACAAGCTTTTGGTTTACTTTTCCAAAATTCATAATGGTACATTTGCGTGCAGTGCAATTTGGTAGGATGTGGAAAATGGTAAATTCAACAACCACGTCATTATTGCTCACATATGGTTAGATTTAAGCTTTACTTGACTAGACGGTTTTTAAAAAATACTGCTGTGTTCTGTTCTTCTCCATTATCTATGGGCACAGATAACAGTAAATAAAACATGTGGGATTTGCACAAGTAAGGTATGAGCGCAATTAATTTTATATTCGGTTTATGATATTATTCTTTACACATAGAGCCTTAATGTGTCAATTCCCGTTTGAAATTTATTTTGAAAGTGCACATCCGGGTTTTTGCCAGCCTTTGCAGCCTCGCGCTGACTCGGACCGCAGACTCGTGACATCACTGGACATCAAGTTAGACCGAAGTGGCACTGATTTACACCGGAAAATGTGAGATNNACTCTTTCAAAATTAATGCTTACGCACAAAATATTTTTGTGAAATAATACATAAAAATAGCAGCAGTTAGATGTGTGTGATTCACATCTGTTTACTTGTGACTAATGCAGATGGACTTATTTATATGGACACATGTCAAGACAAATAAATAAAGTATAACTCAAGTCGTACCACAAATTTGATATAACCTTGTTATTTTTTCATACAAGTGTCGGATATTAGTTGTGCACATTTATATCGACATGTATTACATGTCAAGATTTGTTTTTATAAAACATACGTCTTTGGTCCATTTTTTTTTACTGCCCTGGGCTCAGTGAGTCTGGTCTGACGCAGCTTATCTGAATTGTGGAGTCAGTAAAATGTTAATACTGATTGGATGATTGATGATGCAATCTGTGCAGTATTTGGCAAATAATCAACTTTAAAGAGTTATAAATCAGGAGCAAAGTTTTTGTTGCAAAACTGCATTGTCTGATAGTTTGCTTCTTTATTAATAATATTGTTGAATTATCCTAATTTTCCCTGCACAGATATTTTCATTGATGATAAATTTCACTAATTCAGTGTTGTGGCTAAAATAACATTATGATCAAATTTCACTAATTAGGTGTTGTGGCTAAAATAACATTATGATCTTGCAAAAATGGTAAATAGATGTTTTTTATACCAATTAATGCCATTCCACCAAACTCTTATGTGTAAAAACGTTTACGTTTACATATATTTATGTTGTGTTTAGTAGGCAGACTTAGTTTTATTTAACGCCCAACAAATGTCTTATATTAATGTAAGCTGCCTGCTATTTAATCTTTTATTTTGAAGACCCACACCAGAAGACCCGTATTAGCCCTGAGTGGGTTGACTCTGGTAGTAGGAATGGCGGCTTTGATTACTAGAGGAAGGAACCCAAAGACCCTGAAACTTTACGTCTGACGGCCCCGCAGAGGAATTTATCCCTGGTCAACCGCTCAAACCTCGTCTCACAGCGGTTTAAAAGGAGTTTTGGTAACTGGACATTAAGCCAGTAAAGGAACGGGGTTTAAGCAACTCGCAGGTTAGCTTCACGTTAGTGCCGCTGACTTTGAATCAAGGTAGCTGTTAGCTCCTACTTAGCCAGCTGTTGGCCGTTTGGCCCAACAAGTTAAAATAAGTGATTAACTGTATGAAAACCGCTCCTATTTGGACCGTGAAGTGAAGAACGCCTCTCTCGATAAATATTTACTGCTGTTGACTCTTCTGGAGAGGCGACAGGAAGGGGATTTAACGCAACTTGAATCTTATTCCGTCTGCTAACCTGTGCGTTAGCTGCGCTAGCTGCTAAGTTGGGATCCCGAAGTCTCGCCCATTTTTTGGATCCTGCCCCAGCCATTGGCTAAAGGGCTCAAAACCAACAGCCAACTAAGATTGCTTTTCAGCACCTTCTGGTACTACGATGGAAAGTCTAACGCTGAGCGATGTCGAGCAGAAATACTACTCGGACCTGTTCGTTTACTGCGACACAGACAACACCAAAAAAGTGGCTTCCAACGGCAGAGTTCTTGACCTTTTCCGGGCGGCCCAGCTCCCCAGCGAAGTTGTCCTGCAGGTAAAGCTAACGACTGTCAGGGCCACATTTCCACTGTGTTATCATTTAACTGTGAGTCTGCCTTGTCACCTAGTACACGGATGTTAATGTGCATTTTATAAACTTCCCATGCTGTCAAAGCTCATCTGTCAGTCACTGTAACTGTGGTTAGCATTGTTGGCTAACAGTGCTGCGCAGCAACAGACACACCTTCTTCTGCTGGCTAATGTTAGCTTCAGCCAAAGAGTGGGCAGACAAGTCACACATTTGTCATTAGTTTGAAAAAATATCTCTCGTATTGACACTTTCTTCAGCCAGCAGGAGACGGTGTGTCTGCTTCACAAATGTGTGATTGTGAATATGTCAGAAGAGGAACAAAGCATGGTAACTGCAACATCCTGTTTCACCTTTCTTCCCCCTTTTTCCTGTCTATCCTCTTTGTCAACATGTTCAGTTCTATTCCTACGATCCACTGTGCAAATTATTTGACATTCTGAAAATGTACAACCAAGGTCACAGGACACAGGACAGGAGTGGAATTATAAAAGTTGTCATCATCAAGCTTGAGACTGGTTTATGAGGCAGTTATGGAGTCACTTGACTGGTAACAGCTGTAAACATTTGGCTGAGAATCTTGGGGGTATAGACTGCTCTTTTTTGTGCTACAGAACACAATGTAATTTTGTTAAATTATTGTCATATGTGGAGACACTGAACAATAAAATGCAAGTAGTGGACATGTGGATTTAGAAAGGTGAACATCACCAGTGCTATGTTGTTGGTGAATAATTCTGTCGTCACAACTGACACAAAGACCTTAAACTGTTTACATGCATTATAACTAGATGTTGAAACCCTGGGCACCACGTCTAGATGTGCACTAGTGCAACAGCCCACAGGCCCACTGTAGACCCACTGTGAGGTATTCACAGTCAAAGAGCAGGATCTCATTCTGGTGACTCCAGGTCCCTCGGTACATGCAGTTTGTGAGTCAGCATCGTTGTCAAGGTCAACAGGAGCAGTAGTGTGGTGTTAAAATAAGACAGTGTTGTCATGGGCTATTTTCCCCTAAAGAAAAAAAAAACGTTTACACAGATCGCTGCTGTGAGACTCATGCGGCTACAATGTTGTGTTGTGGCAGGCTGAGAAAAATGACTGGTGTGTTGTATCTACCACACAACTTAGAATAAGATCATTGTCAGCAGGAGGAAAATCACTTAACTGTGGAAAACAAACTGTCTGTGTAGAAAGCCTGGATCTTCAGGAGTTAAATCAATGATTTATAAAGTAAGATATACAGCCCCAGAAAATTATTTTCCTCCTCCTTTGTGCATCGGTGGATGTATTAAACATAAATATAAATATTAAAGGTCCACAAAGATGTTATTTGAGTCACAGATTCAGAGGGTTTGTGGAGATTGCAGTTTTGGACTTGTCATTTGAGGGCTGCTGGCCCTTATAATGTTTGTATTTGTAAATTACATATAATTAGTAATAGTTGAGTTTTTCAAGGCTTATTGAGTTCTTACCAAAAAAAATAAGAAAACGTAAATAGCTTCCTGGAACTGATTTCCTGTTTCCTGTTCTGGGTTATAAAACATTCTGCATCATAACTTCCTCAGGGTCTTTTTCCCTTTAAATCATTTGAAATCTGCTTCTGTAGCACTGACTGTAACCTTCATCAAATTGAATGTGTTGTCTCTCTGTGTTCTTGATTCTCTGTCAATAACAGTTCATATCAGTGTTTCAGGATAAGAAGGACAATGTTAACTCTTCCTTCCTGTCCTTGTGTGGGTGTAGATCACAGAACTGTGTGGAGCCACTCGCCTTGGTCACTTTGGGAGGAGTCAGTTCTATATCGCTCTCAAGCTCATCGCCATCGCCCAGTCTGGGCTCCCCCTGAGGGTGGAGAGTCTGAATTCTGGTGAGTCTAGTGATCCTCACATTATTTCTACAGCTTTCTGTTTCACAGATAAAGTTGTGAACCTGTCTCAGTTCTCACTGGACATATGAGCAGCCTATCAAAGGTTCAGAAAACAGAGACAAACAACAGAGTCACAAACTCTATAAGTCTTTGTATCGTCCACTGTTCAAATTGGTGGTCCCCATATTTTGGAGCAGGTCCCGGAAGGGTTTGTGGAGCAATTTTAATAGGCTGCAGTTAAGGCAAATTAATTCAAATTCTGATATTTTCTCTTTTTTGTTCCAGAATAGAGAACATGCCCACATTTGTAATTTTATGAATTTTCTTTCTTCAATTAGCACCACATGACTTCCTGTTTAATTTTTTTATATATCTTTTACCATTGGGGCGCTGCAGACATGTTCAAAATCAAGCAACATTTCTAATCTGAACAATTGTCAGTTTTTTTTGTGCAGCTCAAGTACGTTGATGCTCATTTACTAAAAAAAACAAACAAACAAACAAAAGAACAAAATCTGCAGCTCCATCCAAAGTTCACTCCTCTGCTGCACTTCTCACATGTTCTGCTCAAAGCACTTAAGGGTTTAAACAGAACAAGAGTCAGAGTGAGAAACTGCTGCTGTAAACAACACGCAAACTCCACACAAAGACCTTGTGTTGAACGTCCTGGCTGTGATACACTATTGCTAATCACTAAACCACAGTGCCGCCCTCCATCCCAGAATCACCAGCAGAAACGATTTTAATCCTTCAAAACATACGACTGCGCACCAGCAGGTGCTGTCAGGTTTTTCTGTGAAAATTAAATCTCTCTCTCTCTTATTGCTGTGTCAGGGGGATTTGATCAGATTTTAGGAACTGATAACTTCTTACGTTCTAAGTAGGTCAAGGTTTGTGAAACTTAAGGCTGTGGCAGATGACTTAGATTTTGATTAAAACAATATTTGATTTTCATACATCAAACGTGTGTTTGCTGTTCATTCAGAAACACGTGGCTGCTTTCTACATCTTCAACCAGGATGAGTGCTCTGCTGGTTGTTCCTTCTATTATTTCTTTTGTTCCCAAGTGATATTTGTTCAGATAGAGATGGTGGATATTCAATGCAGTCGATTCCGTCGCTGCCTTTTCTACACTGCTGTTTTTGTTTGACAGTGGAGCTGTTTAAACTGGTTGCCAGGTCCTAACTAAATAAAGTGCAACGTCAAGCCTTCAGGGTACAACTGGAAGACTGTGTTTCCTGTTTGCCTTTGGAGCGACTTCCCACTGCACAAACTCACTTGTTGATGGCTACATTTTGGAACATGCTGCATATTGCGACATGAAGTTGTTGAATATATTTCTAAATTTGATTAAAGGTAAAAACAAAAAAAAGAAAGAAAGAAAACAGGAACTTCAGAAGATGTTTTTGTTGAAAATTAAACACAGAGAAAACAGATCATCTTTTTAAATGTTACAACTCATTATTTGTCTTCTTCCTTATGAATTCAGGAAAATAAAATCTGTCTCTACGTTTTATTTAACCCTATCTAACCCTATCTCCTACTTTCCTTGGACAGAAGTCCGAACTTTAGCCTGCTTTTGTTACTAAGATTTCTAAACACTGGAGTTCATTCCAGAGTGTTTTTTAACGTCTTTAGTTCTTGAATAAGTATAATCTACAACTACCCCTTAAATCCTCTCAATGGATTTCTGTTTCAACAGTCAAAGATCTGCCGTTGCCCAGGTTCGTGGTTGGGAAGAACGAGGCAGATGCACGTCACGCGGCGTTGTACCAGGACCCCGACGGCCAGGGTTTATACCCAGCGTCTGCTACTGGAGTAATACCTCGACCACCGGGCCGGGGACATCAAAACAAGAAAGGTCCCCCAACATCTGCTTCACTTCCTGTCCATGAGGTCGTCCAGCCTCTGGCCACAAGCATAGAATCACAGGTGAGGAGCTCAACTTGACCAACCAGTCCAGGCAGGACAGTCTCAGCAGTCTCTCTTTGACCTTTTCAAATAGATTCAATTCATCCATGATGTTGAATAATTAATAAGAGCACATGGAATATTAAAGCTCATACTTTGTTTATTTTTAATAAACTGTTTAGGTTTATGTTTCTCTGTTGGTTTATTCTACTGGCATTTTCATTTCCTGCTCCAGCTCCAGTTATTAGAGCACTGATCCCAGAACACTGCTGTATTTCCTGTGTTCATTCCTGTGTGCATCCTACAGCCCCTGATAACGCTTTTTTTCTCACTCAGCTCAGTAGCATTTTCTTTTTATCACTAACACATTGTCTGTCAGTTTTATAGCCCTTTTCCTTAATTCTTATCTGTTTTCATTTTGAGTTCTCTGGATGAACAAAGTATCTTTAATGGTAACGGAAAAGTAGTGTTGTCACTTTGTCACCTCTGTGGTTTTTTAATGTTTAATTTGTTTTCTTCCCCTGATTAGCCTGAACCTACTTCGCCTGTGGTCTCCCCTCACCAGTCGCCCCCCACCTCACCTCCCTCATGGAGGAAACACAAGCGGCAGCACAGTGGAGGGAATGTGGATCGACAGCCAGTGGTTTCAACAGCTGCAGTCGCGTGGACGCAGTTCAGAGAAACACAGACGGGTAACGCGCTACCTGGAAGAAAGAATAAAATTTAAAAAAAGTTTTGTTTATTTAATTACCTGTACTTGTCTCCCCTCCAGGACCAGTGTCTGGTGATGGCATGTGGTCGTCCCACTCGCCACCTCCTCCCAGTCAGGAGTGTTGGGTCAGTTTCACAGCAGACACGCCACCGTCCAGTACGCTGCCCACAATGCATCCCTCATCAGTCCAGGTGCAGAAATAATATTTATGTTTTTTTTTTTATTCTCTTGATCTGCACAAACTCCTGTATCAGAACTAAATCTAATGTAAAAGCAAAAGAGAAGTGAACCTGCTCTGCTCATGTAGCCCTCAAATGTGTGACCACCTGGTGGCGGAATCTGATATTATTAACATTTTCAATATTTAATATACCCTATCGATATTCTACAGCACTGTATCAACCAGTCAAATATTCTTGGCGTTGGTTCAGTTTATTTTGCTTTCATTTCTTCTCTAGTGATTCCAAATGTAGTTGCCTCTGTTCCAATGTTAGTAACCTGATGTTAAGATGTTTACTATGATGACTAATGATTAATTACTAGAATGAATAACAGTGACTGTTCTAAAGAAAGTACAAAAGAACCTGCAGCTTCATCAGAATCTCCTTTAGATCAGACGTGGTTTTGGTTTCAATCTCTTGTCGATTTCCGCAGGAAAGCACAACGATACGAACGGTGGCCTCAGCAGCAACGAACAACGAGATCCAGCGACAGTCCAGCGGCTACGATGATCCGTGGAAGATCACGGATGAGCAAAGACAGTATTATATAAACCAGTTTAAAACCATCCAGCCAGACCTCACCGGCTTTATACCTGGTAACAAAAAAAAACAACAACAACAAAAAACACAGCGTAAAACGAATTAATTTTAAAACCTCAACTTCTCCGTTCTTCTTCCAGGTTCAGCA